AGGCAATCTCAATAGGCTTTTTTATTATATTATTCTTGATAAGACTCACATATTGTACAATACTGATAGTGGCTTATCTATAGCTATCTAATAGCTTAAAACTGGTTTTTATCTTTTCTTATTAGCTATTATTTTCTATAATGATATCCTAGACTTCTAGGGCTACATATTTCTTATTATACCTAAATAATCTAATATAATTTAGAAAGATATATAAACTTTATAGAGCCTTAATATTATAAATATTACTAATCCTTTCTTATTACCTAAGAAGCATCCAGTGAGTTTTTTAAGATTTATAATATATACACTTAAGAAATATATTTTTATAGATAATATTATTATCTAGATTATAAGTATTTATCTAAAAGATATTTTAAAGTATTTGAATATTAGATAAATCTTTTCTTTATCTATCTAAATTAGATTTAATTATTTAATTATTAGCTTTTATATTCCTTTATCCTAGACATATATAATTTATATTAAGTTTTTATATAATAAGAAGGTAATATATAATTAGGTAGTTATTCTTTATTATAAAAACTTAATAATGAAAAAGAATAGTAAAGTTATAGTAAATATAGTAAAATATTAAATATTAATACTACTAATTTTCTAGCTTAGTATAGAGTTTGCTAAGAAGCTTCTTATAATAAGAATATTTAAGAATATTCTATATTTATTTTATCTTAAAACTGTATATTAGAACCTTACTTAGATAGTTTATTCTAAAAAACTCTCTATATCTTCTTCAAAATGGTTTCAGAGAACTTGTTGTCTAAAAAAAGTCATTTAATTATTAGTTAATATACTTAAAACTCTTTTATAAGGCTTTCTAAAAATAAGGGTTATACTGCCTATTATTATACATAATTTCCTTATTTATTAGGAGAAATAAATTATTTGATGTTTCTTTCTAGCCATTTAAATATATATTGTAGTTGTCTTGAAAGAGTATAGTATTAATATAAGAATATTCTATTTTAAACTTGATTAGTTATAGTGCCAGGTATTAATTATAGAATTTATTATTATAGATAAATACTCTATTTTAGTTATGTCCTTAGCTATTAATATCTTAGGATTAAACTTGCACTCTTAATATAGTATTATATACTTTTTTAATTTATCTCTTATTAAATTTATTATAAATCAAGCTATTAAGCGCCTTTAATATTTTAATCAGAATTATATGATTATTGCCTATATTTACTTAATAATTAATAATTAGAATAATATTTAGCAGTCTAAATCTAACAAGAAAATAGTTATAAATATATTCTATAACTTAAATCTAGTAATATTTAAACTTATAATTAAAAGTTCTAATAAAATTTCTATTAGTAATCTTATTATATAAAATAACACTTTTTACCAGCTAAGATCTAATAAAACTCCTTTATTTTCTAATAATACTAATAATAAAGATATTATTACTATTATTTAGAAATTATTTATTAAGGAGATAAATATAATAAATATCTCTAAAACTTGAACTATACTTTAATATTTTCTATTTTTTATTTATATTACTTAATTTATTGCTTAATTTATTACTTAGTTTAACTAAAATAGATATTTTTTAATATATTATAACTTTCTCTAGATAAAAAGTAATAATTTCTATATTTTTAATAAATATTTTTATAAAAAATATCAAGAAATAAGATTTATATATTTAGAACTTTTTTTCTAATTATCCTATTATTAATATATACTCTTATATCTAGTAATAAATTTAACAACTATAAGCTTCTAATTATAAGATATTATAGTATCTATAAGAGAATTTATATAATTATTAAAATAAATAGTAAAGATTATCTATATATAATTAAGTAGTTAACTTATTATAATAGTTATATATAATTGTCTAATTAATATTAAGCTATTTATAGCTAAGTGGAATGATCTAGTTATATTTCTAACTAGCTTAATATCTTTTTATCAATTTTTTCCTTTATAACCCTATGTATTCTAGCATTATGTTAGATTATCTAGAGATTAATCTTCTTCCTTATAAGGAATAAATCATTAATCTATATAAAGATAGCTACTTTATAAAATTAATATTAAAATTTCTTACAAGTCATTATAAGATCTCTATTAAGAATTGCACTCTTTATTACTAATTATAAAAATAAAGTATTTATTATTTAAAATATATATATAAAGATTCTCTTTACTTATATATTTAGATTGCTATTTTATTTTTCTAAGCATATTTAATAAATAAGAAAATAATTATTATATTAAAGAATAAAGACTTTTAAGTAAATTAATAAGTAATATAGTAAATTTATCTTAGAATAAGTATACATTATTTATTTAATGTATATATATATATATAGAGATAGATAATAAACTATATCTTATTATATAAACTAAACTTAATAGTAGAAATATTAATAGATTTAGCTATAAAATATTATATATATATTTTTACTCTAAGATATATATTATCTCTAAATATTATTTCTTTAAGCTCTTTAATATCTTATAATTAATTTAGTATACAGAGATTATTTATTTTCTTTTATTAGAAAGATTAATCCTATTAATGTTTAGAGAAAATAAAATAATCTATAATAAATTTATTAAATATTTGTTATACTAGATCTAAACTATATTTAATTAATTAATAGTTATAATAAATTATAATTATAAGATATTAAGATCTATACTATAATTAATGCTTATTTATATTATATTATTTAGATATATATTAGTATCAGTAATTATATAGTTATTAGTATTTTTTACTAATTCTTTAATATAATTAAAGATATAGGTATTTAACCTATAAAGATTAAATTAGATTAGAAGATAAAGACTTTACTTTTTATAAATATATATTTTATCTTATAAAAGTAATAAGACTATAATCTTTCTTTTAATAACTATTATTAATTTAGGATAAGTATATTAAATTAACATATTAAAAGTTGGTAGAGATAGCTATTAAAAGGTCTTTTATTTTTATAGTAAATAAGTAATTAGATTTTTAGATTATATAATAGCACTAATACTTATTTAAAATAGGAATTTTTTGCTGAAATTTAGGAATAAGGCTTATATATTAAAAGTTAGATTATAGACTATATTATGCTTTTTACTATTTATATTTCTATACTTAGATAGGAAGTTTATTATTTTATTTAAAAGTAGAATATTTATAAAATATATTTATAGAAAGATTAAGAATATCTATTAATAGAAAAGCCTTATATAATATATTATTATTATTTATATGCTATAAATGATTTTAGAATAATACTAAATCTAGACCTCTTAAAGGAGTTATAGTAGAGAATAAATAATTAAAATATAATAATTTTTAAAGATTATTTAACATAAGCTAATCTTAATTATAGATATTAATAAATATTTACTAACTAAGATTATTAATCTTTATAATTTAATATTATAAAGTAATAAATACTCTTTAAATATATTATAAAAAGATTATCTATTAGATAGTAGTTATATATATTATTAAGTATACGTTGTGCCGGTTAGCGGGGCGCAGCTTTCGGCCCCCGACCAACCAGCGGGCGGAACGGAAAATGTGATTGCCCGATCCAGTATTTTGCGGGGCCGTGGCAGTAACAGGATTACCAATTTCAGTCTAGTTGCCTCTCTCGCCGCTTTAACGGGAGGCGCCCCACAGCAGGAGGCCTATATAAACTACAAGTGCGTCCTCGAAGGATGACCGTCACTTCCACGTCCGCTTTTTCCTTCGACCGGTGCAGCAATCTGGCAACGCCCTTGCCCTTGTGTTTGCCTGGTGAGACATGAGCGATCGCCGATCTCAGACCACTCCTCCCCCCCTTTCTTTTTCCAACAGATCCACTTTGTGCCTGAAGCGCCAGCCGTTTCTGACACGATGGAATGATTTGATTACCTGCTGTTCAGGTGAAGATGGATTACGGACTTGGAAAGTACTATCACGACGGCATTATCCATGATATCTCACTGAAAGTTATCTCCAGAGCCAGGTTCTTGTGACTGTCGATTCCAATCTTGAGACTTGGTCATGCTTTTTTCCTTCCTTTTTCCGGCTTCATTAGGCGGAACATTTTGCCCGCAGCTGCTGCATTAGCTGAAGTTGATAGAATGATGGAGCCTGTTGATCTGGACTCGACTATTACGGTAGCGTGACTCCCCAATCCGAGTCGTGTCAAACCTGGTTCCCTTTCGATGCGTCGTCACGCTGTCCACCCGTGTGATAGCACATGGTCCACTGTTACAATTGACGCTCATGCGGAGTAGAGGCCAATGGCAAAAATACCGCATGGTCTATTTCCAAGGTCAGTAACAACCCAATTGAGAAAATTTTCGCGATTCTATGCGTTATTGGCCTGCCTGGCTCTCTATCTCCAAGGCGACGGCTTGATTCATGCGTCACAGTGGGTGATTTGAAGGATAGTCCATCCACAAATGGGGCCAATATTGCCTCGATTGTGGAACAAAAAGGGCTCTGCTGGAAAGTGGATCAAACCTTCGTGGACCATAGAGAAATACGAGGATATTCAGCCACTCTGACTCTCACAGTCTATGGATCTCCAATGGGACGACTAGATATCATGTCCGGCAACAGCTGAAAGCTGAATCATAGATAATCCATGCCTAGATGCGGATAGCACTGCCTCAATCGTGGGATACATGTCACGCCGAGCACGGAGATGGACGGTGTTGGGCGTGCTGCGGAGCAAGGTCTCATTTTTGAGCTGCGGTGTGCATTCGTTGATTGGAGGGCAATCGACTATTGATGACGACGACTCCATTCACAGTGCTACGGTCTCATTTTGACGGAGTACGACAAATAAAGCGGCAAGGGCGGTTCGTCGAAATCGAGAAGAATTCGCAATGATCATTGCCAAGCCAACCGTTGCGCCGCCAGATGGATATATAAACGGTCACAGCACGCAGTCTGAAGCACAAAATCGATCAAGAAGCTGATCTGTTCTGCTACAAACCCCTTATGAAATACAACCATGGCTGTCACTTTGAAAAATATCAAATTCTACAATCCCCATTCTCTCCCTACACGGCCTTCAAAACGCACGTCTCCCAATCACAATCACACTTCAATCCCTCGTCCTACATCAAAGAGCACTGATCCTACTCCGAACCATTCAACAGTCCCCTTCTCTCCGTTCTCACAACCAGCATTACCTCACCCCTTACCTCCCCGACCACCAGCAATCTTTCCCCCCAGTCATCACACAGCATCTGCGACTCCCTATGTACCCTCTAGCATATCGCATACACCTGATCCTCACCCAGTGTACAAGAATGATTTCGATCAAGCGTTGGATGAGTTCTTGTGTGCTAAAAATGGCGAGAAAGAGGATGGGAATTCCTCCAGTCTTCTTCCTACACAAGGTAAATCTTACAGTCAGGAGGATGAAATGTTCTTAACTTACGTGAGATAGATCATGGAAATGGGAATCATTCTCATACCGCTTTGCCTGATCCAGAGATCTTGGCCCAAACTACAGCCAGCTTGCAATCATCCAGCTGGTCTCTGCCAAAACCCGTGGAATCGCCAGCAGAAGCGAAGCCTACGCATCCAAAGCCACGTGATGAGTCGCAGCCACGGGAACAGCCCAACGATCTCACTTGCACAATCTCTATAGAGACATCGCCAACATTCTGTATCTCTGAACCGCATACATCGGCGCCTCACGAACCCAACCATGATTTGATGCATACGACTATACAAGCCTCCGCACGGGATTCATTCGTACCCAATCACGAACACTCGGAGACTTCTGGAACAAGTTCAGTCCTAATTCATAGCCCCGAATTTGGCGGAGCCACCTTAGGAAATGAAAGTATGGACTCTTAGGAAAGCTCTGGAGAATCAGAGTGTGCTAGTTCGTGCCCATTAGGAGATTTTACAAAATGAAAGAGAAGTCTATCAGCATACTTGTCTTGTCCGCCCACTCTTGTAGTTGTCATCCCAGATCTATCTTGTTCTGCTTTATTGTGCAAAACGTCTAGTCGGCAGAAGCCCAGCCGTTCGTAGTACTTAGAACAGATGGTCGAAGACCCTCACAATTCGGAATCAGCTCCTTCTGACGACGAGAACGACGTAGACTACGTCGATCACTCCGAGACGGAAACCGCCAGCGAAAGCTTGCACCCATCTAAGCGTCGTCGTAGAAGTGCAAGCGATGCTTCATCAGCTTCTTGAGGAGAACTTAAAAAATCATCCTTGGAGTCCCTGCTCGCGGATCAAACTGATTCACTACCAGAAAATTTGAGTCCAGAAAGTGAATCAATTCCTATCTAGGGTTTTCTCTGATTACGAACTAAGAGAACCGAGGTCGTCTACTCTCTGGAGTTCTCACAGACACATCTTTCCTCATTATTCATAGGCGAGCAGATGGAATCTCCTCGATCACATCCATGGATAGTCTATTCCAGGACGAAGACCCCATATTCGCCTGAGGAAGATGCATTTATTATTGACTTGAAGGCCTAAAAGCTGAGTTAGGATGAGATTGAAGATCAATTTGCAGAATAATTCTTATATTGGAAAAAGTCATCGCTACAGGTGCGTTATTGTAATAAACTGAAGCACTTGACGAAAGAAGGGAGAAAAAGATGAGTTAAGAGCTATAAGCAGCCATAGTTCCACCTAAATCTAGAAATATTATGATATGATCAATTAGACTAGAAGCATCAAATCAATACTTCTATCTGTATCTCTGTCTGACAAAAGAACGCCTTGGTTTCTAGGAGTTTTTTAATAAGATAAAGCTCATTCTGCTGATATGTATTATTTACTCTAATAAGTCTGCTTATAACTAATTAAGATGCAATTCTTTAGGTAGAAGATTGGTTGTTTTTATTGTCTATTACTTTTAAACTTTGAAGATTGTTCTTAACTTCAAACATATAGGAATAAGTCCCGTCTCAGCATTTTGTGATAATATTGTGGAATAGAAGATTTTTCATATTAGGATATTCTCTAATAGCAAAGCGTTGTTCAGCTGCTCTTAATGCTTTGAATATCTTCATTGTTTTATGGAACTGATAGAAAGGTATGTTGCTGGACTTAATCTTAAATAATATTAATCCAAATGCAAATATATCTGTTTTCTTAGTGGTTGTAGAGTCACCGTGAGAGGTATATCATTTATAATAAACTAATAGAGGCTTGCCATCCATACTAGAGCTAGTAAAGTCAATGAACCTTATATAACCAAACTGATCTAAGATAAGGTTATGACAATCAATGTCTGCATATATAATGTGGTTTTTATGGATGTAGAACAGACCTTCTGAAGCCTTCTGGGCCCAATGGAGTCTAGTACGCATTGTGATTTTTTCTAATTCTAACCTGTGGATTATTTTGTAAAGGCATTCATTATGTTCTAGAATAATGCCTTCATTTATCACATGACTAAGCACAGTGATTCAATAATAGTTACCTAACCGCTTGTATGTGCTGACTTTAATGTTGAATGCCTGCTGAGCAAATTTATCTGATGAAGGGCGCTTAATAATATAATCACTACTGAAAGTGTGGATTAAGCTGAATGATCCTGCGGCGACAAATTGAGGAGGCACGATTTCTGATATTGATGACATAGAGTAAGTAGGTCATAAGAAGGTCATAAGATGAGAGGGTTATTTACTGTAGATTTGTTTCAGACGATTGACCTATATATGTACCTTACTACAAGGCGACAACAGACAGAATTGGCTTAGCGCAAACAGTGAGAAAATTTGCGGTCCCTTACTTTAACCGCGAAATAACCCGACAGCGACTAAATGAGCCACGAAAAATTAGAGCCAACCATCTTATCCAACCCACAAACACAAGGCCCACTTGGGCGTGCGCCACACTTGGACAGTATTCCCAGCTACCTCAAATGTAAACCTTATTCTATTAGTAAGATAGAATCTAAATAGAATAAGAAAGTAGACTACCCTTTTGTATACTGTGCTTAGCGATACACTAGAGTCATGGCAGCACGGGTATTAGCCTGCTTGGGTGGTAATATCAAAAATACTAAGAGCTAGGTCAGGTGTGGTGGGATTATAATTAGTGCCCAAACTGATTGCTTTATTATATTTCTTAATGTACTGCTTTACCAGCGTGTAATTCTTGGGATAATTGCGCTAAATTATTGCAGTGTCAGCATGTTTATATATGCTAGGAAGAGTGAAATGGGGAAAGACTAATGTCTTGTGATGATAATATAGTAGATAGTGAAGCTTATATTAAAATTCTCTATAAAGTGTTTCTGGTAGTTAGAGATATAGTAATAGTAAATACTTGATGGGTTTAAGCTATATTTATGGATAACTTAAAAGGCTTGAGCGTTGTAGTGTTTTTTATTTAAAGTTGAAAAGAATTCAGAAAGTTAAAGAAAGAGGCTGTGGTATAACTTGGATCCTATTTAAGCTATAGTTTTTTAGTCGCTGCTGAACTAATCCTAGATGCTTTGAATATGTTATAACTTTATAGGACTAAGCTAAATGATTAGTTTTATTATATAATATAATCTCTCATGCCTGAGTGGCATCAAATGCTGATTTATTAAATTTTATATCTGTTGGCCAATCAGCGTTACTTAGTAGTTATGGGTATTGTGCTATCTGGCTGGTTCCTTACTGTGATGGGGCTAATATAAATCTGTAAGTTAATGAGATTGAGAGGCTGCTATTCTTGTGAAATGATTAATCCTATTTAATCTTCCTGATTTCTCTGATCTCTCAAATTTCCTTGATGTCCTTTAGGATTATTAATCTATTAATTATCTGAATCTTCCTAATTTCTTTTTTCTTTTAATCTGAGTCTGGAATGTCTATTCTATCCTGGTTTGATAAAATCTTTGGGGAATTAATTTGACTTTATATAATCCTTATTAATGATAGACTAAAGCTTGAAGAATGCTTAGTTATTATCTGTAAAACTTTTGATTGTTTATTATTTAGTGGTACTTTTTACTCTAAAAATGAAATTAATTGTTGTCACTTGTAGAAGAAAGCTTAGAGGATCTACTCTGAAATCTTGATTAATGAACTATACTTTTACATTCTATTCATTCTTACTATCTTGCCTAAAGCTTACTTATTTATAGATGTTAGAAAGATTTATTAATATTTTTGTACTTTAAATCGACTTACTTGGAATCCTGATATAAAATTGATATTTAAAGATATAGCTGTGAAGCATGGCATTGATCAGAATGATTTCTATAAGAGAGTTATTTTGGTACTTTTTGGAGGTTTGTTTTTGAGTTTCAATGTTCTGTTTTGAAGATTTTGTAATTATTGTGTTTTGTTTTATCTAATATAAACAGTATTAATGACTTATATAGCTGGCATTAATTTCTGGTCCTTCTATATAACCAAGTCATCCTCCCTATAGATATTTGGATGCATATCCACATCCACTAATATCATTTCTTTTTTGGTTGAAGATATCAAGAAACAAATCGATATGTGGGTTTTAAAAATTGGTACTAAAGATGCTATCATCTTCTTAAAAATTGAATTTGACCCAAGTTTGATCTGCACCCTTTTCCCACTAGCATATAATCTGTTGAATGAATGGATAAGAAGACCTTCTTAAGAATCAAGAATAGTACTGTCTAAGATCTGTAAGTAGGTATTATCTAAGTAGGATTATGTCTGCTGATTGGATAAATAGATGACAATGAATGGCGAATTTTACAAGGAGTGCCTCTCTTAGCCCTCTTATTGATTTTTGCGCCCTAGGTTTGTTAGGCTGTTGCGAATAGTGAACTAGGGATTTAGGAGAAGAGTCTTTCCCTTTTAGTAACTGATTGTATTGTATTGGAAATTTGTTGAAGATAATCTTATTAGTATATTTTCTGTCTGCGTATTGCTTTTTATATATGTACTTGGCTTGTAAATATTATTTAATCTTAAATAACCTTTGATTTGCCCTTAAAAATCAATGTACTGATATCTTTTGGGAGTTTCTTTATTTATTTATTTCTAGTTGTTGACCAGACTGTTATTCCTTGTTCATCCTTGAACTTAATCTGGTTGTAATTAAAATAGTATAGCATTCTCTCTGATTTCTTGGGTAGAAAGTATTGTATTTTGTGGTGGTTACAATTATTGAAGAAGGTTGTAGGTATAGTGAGGGGTTTTTAATGACTTTTCTGTCTACTATTAGGGTATACTTAATCAGTCTGAAAATCTTGCTTACTAAAAGTTTTGTAATGTCTTTAGTTATATTGATTAAAATGAGCTGTTATTGGGTGTGATGATCTAAGGATATATACTATATGCCTTTTTGTGTGAATCAATATGTTCTGGAACTTTTGTCCAAGGTCTTGAATTTTTTTTTTCCTTAGGAGGGGTAAGAGTGGCAAGATTCTGAGGGATAAGAAACTCTGCCTAATTCTTACCCAACGAACTAAGCCATTTTCCATTTGATTCTTACCCAATCCACCATTCAGCCTAATCTCCCTAATCTCCCTAATCTCCCTAATCTCCCTAGTCTCCCTAATCTACTTAATCTACTTAATCTACTTAATCTACTTAATCTACTTAATCTACTTAATTTACTTAATCTACTTAATTTACTTAATCTCCTTAATCTCTACTTAGCCCCTACTTGATCTCCTCAATCTTCTTAATCTCCTTGATTTACTAAATCCTTCTAATTTATATAATCTACTTGATCTATTAGTTATATCAGATCCATTAATGGTAATGTGTAATAGGACTTTTGAGACTCTCTTTATATGCAGAGTAGCTGGTAGAATGGTGTATCTGCTAGTCTGTCAAGATATAATAATTCTCTCTTGATCCTTGCCACTGCTGTCTGAGAGATTCATGAACCTTTTTTAACTCTATAAAGATGCCAGCCCTGTCCTAGATTCACTGCAATTTGATATAGACCGCCTCAAGTCACTGGTTTTATGCGCTGTTGACAGGATGAGCTCTGACTCTAAGCCTGTACGCAATAGAGGAGCATATGATACTATTGGTGTTAAGAAGCCTGGCCAGCCGAAGCCCCTGAGATAGTGTATTTATATTGACCTTGCAACATTTCAAACTGGACCGCATAGGCAGCTTTAGACCCTGGACTCGTTTCAATATGGACCACCAATATGTGCTGCTTTCCATGGTTATCAGCCTTATTTGATTGTCTAGGATGGCGTCTATCCGACGTCTCTTCTCTACCTCTGTCGCAGGAACTACAGGTGAGATGACTAGCCCTGTGTCTGGGATTCGACTGCTGACAGATGAGGACTAGGGCGGAAATCTTACTGGCGACGACAAGGGGTACCAAGCAATCGAATTGATGCCAGAGCGACCCGCAGTTGCTATAATACGAAACAATAATGGTTCGACTGGATGGAAATCTTATCTAGTTCCAATCAAGCGCCCATCCAAGCTCACGTATCAACAATTACAATCAGTGCAGAGCTTGCCGCAGGTATTGTAGTATTTACTCACCTGACAAAAATTCTATTCTAATCGGAATGTCTAGTCCACACATGAATGAGGAAAGCACTGAGTCTATGTGACCCTCTTCAGACGTCAAGGTGGAGATCCATCTTTTGCTTGCGCAACAGCGGTGATGGAAGTCTGGCAGAATGGAGAGCGCGTGGTTTGGAAAAATGTATCTGTTGAGCAGTTGTTCCTTATCCCAGAAGGGAAAGAAGCACTGGAGTCGTGTCTTGGTAGAGAACTGGATGAAGGCAAGATTAAGCAGGTCTATAAAAGCATACTGGTGCAAGCACAGCCAGACTAGATATCTTGAGGCGATAAGTCGTTGAATGACCTATGAAGGTCAATCAGTATATAGCAGAGCCAAGGTAAACTAGATGGATTGATTAATAGAGTAGTCTAAATATAGACATGATAATAGAATTCAGTTTTTTGTTGATGAGTAAATGTAGCTGTGTTAGATTGGCCTCAGAGAATCCAAACTTCATCAATAGAAATTGAGTTCAGTCTCCTGCAGGTTTCATCTTCTAATATGAAATTTAGCATAATCAGCGTTAGTTATATGTGTTATTGCGTCTGATTAGTGCTACTAATCGATTTAACAATCTTAAGTGCATTATAAAAAGTAATCTTATCTAAGTAATACCATTTTAGCGTTATCAAGCTAGATAATAGATGGAATTGCATCTTCTCATCACTTTATACTCTTGCAGATTTGAGTTTAGCCTTGGCTTGCATCTAGGTCTGCAGCAGATGATGAGTCAATGACTTTAGATAGCCCCTTGAGCTGAGCATAATAGATCAACATAAATGACTAACTACTTACTGTAACAGGGATCTTGATAGTTGGCACATACACTCATCTTCCTTGGTTCAGTTAGGTTGGCAATAGGCCCTGAAGCTAGACAAGAACGCATGATCAATGAGTTGTTCTGAACTATTCTCTGTATATAATTGCAATGGGCAAGTCTAAAGTGCGCATGAATGTGATCACGACTTGTATTAATGCTTGAAAAAGTAAAGTATTAAAGGTGCTCTTTCCTGTAGCTGTATAGTGGGTACTTTAATTATTAGTATTGTCCTTGTACATGAATATTAAGCCTAGCTAGTCTTTAAAAATATAAATAGATATCCATCATAGGTAGCTGATGATATTAAATAACTTATTCCAATTTATCTCACATCAGTCGCTTAACTATATCACAATATTCAGCACTAATATTTTCACAACATTAATCAAAGCCTCTTCTAAAAAATGCCTATTGAAATCTTAGGACAGCTTAAGTATTACCTAATTAAATGGGCAGATTAGTTCTCAGTTGATTTGCAAGAATACCAGCTGATCCCTCTAAATATCTAATGATCTTCTGTGATGGTATTTGACTGAGCTAAATCTTATGCCATCGCTTGCTGATTCCCTGCCTCTAGATATGTGGCTTTGATGGGCTCCTCTAGACCCAATCATATCCAACCAAGGAGGTGCAAAATGTTGCAGGTCACTTCCTGTATGGTGGTCAGGTACATAAATGGATCATGCTGGGTCATAGTTTGACACCAAGTGTTGGAAACATGCCGGCAGACCAGAGCGTACCAGGAGGAAGAAAAATATCTGGGGAGATCTAAGAATATGGCTGGTTGTTGTCGGCTTTAATGGAAATCTAGCAGGAAGTTCTTAATCAAATGAGTTCTGAAATTTAGAGCCCTACTGTGCAATACCCTGTCGCTATTACCGTCTAGCAGATAGTGTGTTGTATTCTTCATTGTTTATCACGAGCTTAGCCTATATGATAAGTAGTATGCTTCAAATTACAGTCTTTATTGTTGCTTACTGCAATTATGATATAGACACATGGCTAGAATAAGAACGCGATGTAGCCCCTAATGTGGATGAATGTATCTGTCTTAGAATTTGACACTAATGCAAAGCTATTACATCTGATGATACTGAAGTGACGATTAAACCAAGTTCATCTGGTCCTCTGTAAGCAATAATAATATAAATTTGAACTAGACAACCCATCAAATATATAGATAGTGGGCTATTTATCTTCTCATCTTCTATTAAATATTGGTTGATATACCACTCTCATTATGCAATTAACTCAGTTCAGTATTTTTGACGGCCCTTTCCTGTTGAAATACCTTATTGCTCCTCGAGACCCTCAGATTCAAGAGCAAATCGAATATAATGAAATGGAGTACATTGGATATGTTATTATAGGGTGGCAATTGGGTATCAAACATAAAGAAGTCATGATCGATATTATAGATTTTCTCTAGCTTTGGCTGCCATATTCCTTGGTTTTTACTGCCAATATCCTATATCTAGAGAATCTAAGAACTCAATGGTTTGTTTTCTATCATAAAAATCATGATAACAATGTGGTGGATTTCTTTTGATGGAAACTTAGAGGTTACAGGTATTTAATTGAATTGGACCTTGGAAATGTATTTTTCTAGGGTGAAAATACTAAATAAATGATACGAATTATTTGCAGTAGGGCGTATGCTAGGAGTATTTGTTATAAGAAGTATTAGCCATTATATCCGCGACTTGTCTACCTCCTGTATCTGATGAGCAAAAGGATCAACCAAGGAGATGCTGATAGTACCAGCGGCGAAAGTGGCGATGATGAATCCTGACAGTTGTTGATCGGTCCAAATTGGGACATGGAAGCACTAGAAATACCATGTGAAATTAGTGACGTATGAAAGATTTTCATCGTAACTGCTGATGCGGTTACTCTCCATCTTCAATATATCGCAACTGCAGCATACCTATATTGTAGAATCAACCAAACATTCTAAGCCTAGCCATTGTCGAAACGCTATTTGCGCACTACTGCGGTATGCATATGCAGCCCAATTTTAGCGTTAGATGGAATTGCTCGCTTAGGCCTCTCCCTATACTTAGTTACTAGTGAATACAAGTAACCTATGCATGTACACCTTCATCCATCATTCTAGGCGAGCTTAAAACATACCTACAATGATACATGAACATGCATGTTTGCAAAGCAACCCACCTTGAATGATCTGAAATCTATGTTTGATTGGACAGAAGTTAAGGTCGCAAAGCAGTAAGATTGTCAGAATCAGGAGGTAGAATAAGCAAAAGGGAAAAGTTATCAAGTGGACCTAGCTTCCATCTCATATTATGCCTTAGGTGGGCCCGAGTCCGCGGCCTTTTCTGACTCGCATTTGTCAATGCATCTGGCAATGACTTGTATTTCATTCATTAGCATCTGAAGATTACAGGAGATGGGTGTCTTACGGTCAAGAATCTCCTCTTCCCAAACACCCATCTCATAATCCACTAGCCCGCGAGGTTCTATATCATCACAGACCTTAATGAGGAACTGTCCCATTGCCTCCATTTCGGCTACATTCAGTCGAGGATCGTTTCGAGTAGATTCTATTTGTCGTTGGAATACCGCCAGCCAACATATGTTCAGAAGACACCATAAGATGCGGTTTTCTTGCTGTATGTGTTCTGACATGTCAAAGAAAAGACCTGCTAGGTAAGAGACTGACCACCATATATATCTCCGCACAACTTACTTAACGGTTTCGAGTTCTCGACCAGGAAGGTTGTCATTTCTTCTAATGCGCGAATGGCGTCGTGTAATTCAGGTTTTGGGGTCTTCAACAAATTGATCGCGCGTATTTTGAATGCTTCCGTTGCCTCTTCGCGGCTAACGTTCTCATTCTCTGGCACGTTTGTTGCATAGTTAATTTGCTGATGTGCGGTGACGAAGTTGCTCACAAGCATTGATTGCTCTGGAATCTGCGAGGAGCCAGGTACAAAGGCTTGCTGAACGATGGCATAATTGGAATCAAGGAGAAACAAACTCCTCTCATCATAGAAAGTCTCCCAATTCATACCTCAAAAGTAAACAAATAAGTCCAGTCTGATATTTCAATTGTTGATTCAACGAAATGTTTGACCTCAGCGGTCAGACGGGCATGGCGAAAGTTAAATTATAAAGGGCTATGGCCTGTTCTCATGCTATGTACAAAATTAGAACTCGAAGATCTATGATATTCGAATCGGCTTCACTGATGCATGAGACACTACTGCCTCAACCGTACTACTGGTATATATGAACTACCCGGGCACCACCTATGGATGATTGGACAACAGGATGCTGGAAGATGAACCTAGATTTTTAGCCGAGTCATCTTCGACAGTCTCACTCAGCTAGGGTGGAATCTAATATGTTGTTGGTTAGAGAAATCAAAAGACAAAAGTTTGAGAATTTTTGGGGCTCACTAGTAAGATGCAACCTTTGATTAGTGCAACTGTTTGTATTAAAACATTCCAAAATTGCTTTTTTTCAGAATAAAATAAAAAGGCCGCAGTGCAGTTCTATTCGAGCATCAATCAGATCGCGTCTGTGTAGCAACTACCTGACCCACCCTTTTAGCAGAATGGCATGATTATTTTGGAAAGTCTGGTTCTTGTATGCATGAGCCTGGCCCATTGTCCGAATTGCTTACTTGATAGCGTGGGTCAAGGAGCATGCAGGGTGGGCGTCGTCTCTGCTGTAGTTGCTTGTTGTCGGATGGGATCCCACTTGATTGAGAGTGTGAGTCGGGTTGAGTACTACTTCATTGAACGCCATCTCAGCCTGGACTCATCAAGCTGCAGCTAGGAATGTCTCTGATAGATGATCTGCACACCGGTGAACTCGATCGAGGTTTCCAGTTGAGGGTGAAAAGGTAATAGTGTGGGCTGCTTGGTATCAAAACCACAGCTTGAATAAGCCCATCAAATTGTACCACTACTCCTCCTGTTCGTGATTGCAGAGCAGCTTGAATGACTGGGTACTACCTTCAGGATTGTTTCTTTGCCACGTACCTCCCCGTTGACAGAACTGACATTGAGAAGCGATGATGCAGGATGTTTTTTGGGATCGTTTTGAAAAATCAGATCTCCTGGGCCAGAGTTTAACACTGTTCGTAAGCCCACCGCACCAGGCTTAGTCTGTACTAAAGGATTGCAGTAAGATATGTGTCAGGGAAATCATAATGACAAGTGCTTGATACCTTTGGTGGTCTTCCTTGGAACCTTGATTCGTGCGAGAATATGTTGATTGCTTTTTTTAACGTGCACTTCTCTGCTTCGTCATTCAGCTGAGTAACACACCAAACAGGTCCACATTTTTGATTCACTATTACGAGCCGGGAAAAGCAGAACCTCATATCCGTAAGCCTTGCCTGTCACCCAACGCTCAGACGGTGAAGTGGATCGTAATAGCCTGCTCGAAAAGCGAGACTTCTGCTGTAATCGTTGCTTGCCATATTAGGATCCCCACTTGATTCGAAGATTGACGTATCGTGAGACAGGGCACTTGCTCATCTGCCCGCTAGCTCCAATGATAGAGCCCTGAGCTGACTCTCGTGGCCTGACCGGAGATTCTTAAAACAGGAGTAGCCCAGATCCTGGCTGAAAATTGGCTTGCATGAAGGAGGGTCGCACTAAATGAACTCGATTTCGTCTGCTCGTACTAGCTCATTTGGATCCACAGGATGTGCTACTGCCATGTCAGCCTACTCGACAGCGGCATAAAACATAACACCTTTACACACATGAACTCAGGATTCTGGCCCTTCTGTCGAGCAAAACTTCAATCTTTTTACACATACTTTCAAAATCCGATTGACCATCCTGTTCATGCACAGTATTCCAAAGGCTTTTAGCATTGCCAAGACCATGAATCAACCAGTACGTTCGACCGGGATCGAAGCCATCGATGCTCGCGTGAAAGAAATAATGCAGTTACCGAAGAGAGCGCACATCTTATACGCCCCATTTGACGTGAATTTCCCTGGGGAAACCATCACAATGGACGACAAATCAGAAATCACTGTTGTTGGCGCAGGTTGGGAATTTACCTTGCACGCGACTGCTTTTATAGCGGCCGGTGCGAGGATTACCGCCTACGAGATGGCCCATGACAAGTTCGGTGCCGGCCAGATTGGATTAAACATGAAAGACGAAATTTTGGACTTCCATCAGGCATGTCGACTGGCTCACCTGATGCCGGACTTTACCCTTGAACATCTTGAAAGGCTACCAAGCGAGGTCAAAGATATTATGAACCTTCCTTGCCACCAAACATTGAGTAAAAAACGTCGGTCGATCAAATCCATGGGGAAGCGGGCGTACGAAGATCTTCCCGATGCTGAAAAGATGTCGAAGAAGGAAGTGGTTGAGACGAAGAGAAGCATTCTGGAGTATATGGTTGCCGTTGGAGTGCTCAAGGTGATACCTCAAGAAGTAACGGTCGACATGGTAGCATCGTGGCTCGAGAAAAACAAGCCTGTCTTCTTGCTGACTGGCAGTCAACTCAATCTGGAAAAATCAGGCTTGAATCACCTCATCGGTAATCCCCGATTTTTAAAAGAATTCTTGATGGTTTCCGAAGAAACAAAGAAATTTACCGAAGCTATCTCTGATTTACAGCAAGCACACGCCGCTTCAGGATGTCAAGGTGCTGTGCCACGCGTCGGAATCGTTGGTGGTGGTTCGATCGCTCTGAGCTGCGAGTTGGATCTAGGCAAGATATTACAGCCAAACCTTGAGATCATTTCGATTTCTCCGGAAAAGAGGCTCAGACTTCCGGACTCCCTTCTTCCGATCCAGGAACACATGACACATCGGTTTATTCCAGGATATGTATCCGATATGGTACTGAGCGAAGACGAGAATGCTATCGAATCTGTGAAAATCATCAGTTTCCCTGGACGCGAGATTCAAACTATCAACACTAGCCTTTTCGTTCATATTTTCAATGTATACCACCCACCCGGAAAATGGGAGATCCCTTCTCACCACGCAATGGAGTCGATAACGAAGTTTCTCGACGAGAGAGATCCTGAGAATGCATTGATAAGGGATTACGCCATTGGGCCACACCGCAATTACTATGATATAGTGTTTCGAATAGATAGACCTTGGTTTCTGAGTCTTAAAGACGATGAAGTACTGGTTGAAAGAATCAAATCTCTCATCGAAAAGGACCCGGATCAGGCTACCATCGTCGCAAATGGAAGCGGTCCCATGGTCAATCGCCTGATATGGCTCGCAGATTTTCTAGGGTATCGTGGTCAGTTCTGTCAAGTTGCGTTACCACTCCAAGATGGTCGAGTAGCACAGCTCAGCGAACAGCTCGAATCAGAGGGACATTTTAGACGTCAACCAATACAAGGCCGCTTGAAAACGGCCATGATAAATGGTGAAAAAACTACCCTTGCGGTCCATGATTCAGATGGCGAGCCTTTAAACAATGTTCCCGACGTTGACTTCCTCATAAACGCAATAGGCAAATCGAAGAAGACGCCGCTCATCAATGCGTTAAAAGAGAAGGGATGCATACAGGACAATGATGTTGCCCAAGGTGGTCCTAGTATACGCCCAGGTCATCCGATGTTGTCGGGTGACTCCACCATTTTTCAACCAGAGCTTGGTGAGGACATTGTAGATTCTGCCGGTATGTGGTGGAATCCCGAGATCACAACTCCGAAAACCGAGCCTGATGGGTGGGAGAAGGCATTCAAAGTTGCCTGCAAGTTGCTAGGAAAATGTGCCTGAGTGATAGACTCTCGAATAGTGTGAAAGACGAAGGATGACTATTCAATGAAGCTCGAATAGTACTGTACATCATTTAATATGTAAAAGCCGTCGCATTTGCGGATCAATAGGAGGATTCGACATCTAATCAGCGTAAATCTTGTAGAGGGACATACTACTGTCAAGACTCTGTTGCATGGTTATCGAACATCAAACTGTGTTTGGGTCGGCGCTAGCCAGGGCCCATTTTCAATCACAATTGCGAGCTTGAATAGCAGAGTCTCGCATGCATTAGTCTGACTTACCGCTCAGATGGTAGTGTGGGTCGTAATAGTCTGCAGAGTGGGTGAGGTCTCTGCTATAATGATTTGCTGTCGGATGGGATCTCGCTTGATCCGAGAGAGCAAGCCGAAATTGAACGCCATCTCGGTTGCACTCACCAAGCCGCAGCTATTCAAATCCCTGATAGACGATCTGCACTTCACCGCTGAGGTTGGAACGTGAGGTGACGTTCATATGTGAAGTCACCGTCGGGCATAAAAGGACACAGATTTCCCGGGTCTTTCCCCCATTTGATGCCCAAGATCCTCAGACTGCATTATAAATAGTGGAAAATCAAGTGCATCCAAGAATTCCTTGTTACCAATCTCCCAACATGGCCTCGAACTTTCAGAAGCGACAAGACCACCCTCATGCTCAAGTGACCACACCATCCCACCGTGCAACTCATGGCTGTTCGCCAAAGCATGCTGAAAAACACAGGAGAAAACCACGCTTTTCGGGCCCGCTTTCAGTCTGGGCTGTCAATATCTCGACTCGGACGGTGAGAAAGTTGGATTTGCTTCCATCGACCTCAAAATTTCCAGGTTCGCTGGCGTGAAGCGCATCGCATCATTGATTTGCTTCCCTCTGCAGTACCACCCTCAAAAAGGGCAGGTGGCGGCTGAGTTAATTGCGTGCGGTAAGAAGTTTTACAGCTTGCGTGGATCTCATCACTGCTATTGCAAAGGCAAAGCCTTTGTAGTGCAGGACGACGTGAAAGTGAAGCGCAACATCGACAGCCGTGTGATGATAGATGCGGCTTTTTTTCGCCGGATGAAACCGAATTATCAGCAGCCGATAATTGACGCGACTCGGAATACCAGGGCATTAGATTCATCTGCTCATATGATGCAAGGGTTCGAGAAAGTTTCATTTCTGGACCTATTTCCTGACATCAACCCTCGAGATCACGGGCGGGATCGTGAACATAGACCTGTCTTTAATACATCAGAGGCAATAGCAACCTCCATTAGTGGTTCTTCTGGTGCCCATCCTGGAGAACATTGCGATCACCTGCCCACACAGACGGTTACTGTGTCGAATGAAGTTTTGGCGGATGACGAGTATCTGATCTGTTCACCGACTGTCCCTGGTTTCTGCTTGACCGATAAATCCTGGGGTGAGAGCAGAAGATGAGAACGGCTGGTTGCAGATTGCTGACACAATCCTATAGGTGAATTTGCCGTCATGGATGTCAAAGATATAGCGTGGTCCAGTTCGCTTTTCGACCGGCTCGATATTCAGTCGGAATATAAAGAGCTCATCATGGCATCGGCAATGACTCGCCTCGGCATCATAAAGGGTCCGCGATTCGACGATTTGGTCCCTGGAAAGGGAAGGGGGTTGTCCGTGATGCTTCAGTACGTATGACTCACGAGTGATCAAACTTTGTACTCACCAATCGTCCTCAGTGGAGCCCCCGGCCTCGGAAAAACACTGACCGCCCAAGCTGTTGCGGAACAGCTCTAACGGCCTCTATGTTCTGTAGGTTTTCTAACCCGTGAACGCCTTGAAAATTTCATTCTCATCGTGATAGGTATCCGCGGGGGAATTGCTACATAATGCCAGTGTGCTGGAGGAACAATTGCAGAGAATCTTCGCAACCGCCAAACACTGGAATGCTCTCCTCTTGCTTGACGAAGCGGATGTGTTTCTCGAAACTCGGACCGAGAAGAACCATTTTATGAACGACATCGTCGCTGTCTTCCTTCGCATGTTAGAATGGTTTGAAGGGGTGATGTTCCTCACCACCAATAGAGCCTCAAACTTTGACCCTGCGATTCTGAGTCGTATTCATATCGTTGTTGAGTATCCAGGGTTGAAGCAAGATCAGCGGATAGGGACCTGGAAAAGCTCACTTGATCGAGCTCGAACCGCCCAAGGTCCATCACGCCTGAGCGATGACGAGGTGGCTGAGCTAGCCAAATTAGAATTTAATGGTCGACAGGTATGTTTGCGCACAATTTGCGGTGGTCATGGCTCATTGTTCGTCTTAGATCAACAATATTGTAGCCGCGGGTCATGCGCTAGCAGCGGTCAAAGCAGACCAGCTGCAATACCACCACGTTCGGAGGGCAGTGCAAATGAGTCAGAAATTCATAAATCAGGTCAATGGGACAGAACAAGTCAATAGCTATTTCAATTGAGTTTGAACGTGGTCAGCGGAGCGAGACAGTCAACTAGTCACGATATTTAGTGATAGCAGCAGTCAAACGGATATACTTACGCCTATCAATATGCTTCATATTTGAGAGGTGTCTCAATAATGAATATGTCGTAGACCTTACATCGGTCATTCCTGTGACGCGAAGATGTTAGATATAGCTTTGAATGTAAACATTTGCCGGTGTTATAGTCTAAGGGTGTGATCGAGACAGGTTCACTCCTTTTCTCATGTGCATTATTATCAACATCGTGGAGTCAGACTGTTCCTATAAATCATTCATCGATGAGGAATGCGGGAGAAGCATTGTTGTGCGGCATTGACGAACCAGCAAGTTTGCCATAAACTCTCGGTCGATCATGGGATACTTCAAGACGATGACTCTCGGCCACGCGTAGTTGTAACGGACGAAAGGATAGACATGAGAGTAAGTCTCGAGATTTCTCTCAATGGCCGATGAGACGAGAGCGATACGCCATTGAAGACGCGGGGTACTTTCGAGCACGCCGCTTTCGGACTCGTGATGTGACCTAAAGTAGTCACAAGTACCTTTTCTGACGAAACGAAGAGCTTGGACAGAAGTGTCTAGTGCACTATCAATCAGTTCGCATTCTCAATGAACAAGGTATGGACCGATGTTTAAGGCTCCTCCCATGTTCTACTTTTGAAAAGGGGAGATAGCTTTCGATAGTAGCCTTAGGCAGGAGATTCTGCTTCGGTACAAGCTGCTCGAGCCAGCCTAGACAGTTGCATATTTAGTAAGTGCTGCATTCCGCGAGGGCCCCATTTGCCACAGATAGATACTTTGGGGAAGAAACCTGCTCGGTTTTCGGCTATAGAAATCGTAGGAGCCCTGAAATGAGGTGAGGAAGAACACGCGCATAAAACAAGAGATTTCAGATGGCGACCGACACGGACGTGATCTTGAAAACTCCAGTGTCCTGATTAGTCGAGTAAAATGGAGGTGGCATACCACGAAAGAAATTGAAACCGCCCGCATCTTACTCATTATGCATTTATGACCCGGTCACTGAAGACTTAAAGATCACACTAGCCTTTGGATGTTATGCAAGTTGTGCCATCCTGCGTCCCACGATCAAAAGTGCCTGAAACTGATTTGCCTTAGATATGTATGGGGCTGTCACAGCCAGAAGATCATCATCTGTATAGTTACGTTGCTTTAGAAAGCAGCAAAGGAGAACACTTCGTCAAGGATAACCAAAAGATCAATGACCAAGAAGCAGTGGATCAACCCTGAGCTGAGAGAAATAAGACCTTGCTGGCTCAATAGGAATGGATAAAGATGGCTGTTCTCAGTTGAGGTAGTGCTAATTACTATCCCGCCAGATGATGCGTATGAGAGTAGCTTCGAGAAAATGCGGAAGATAAATTGAGATGGCGCTGCTAGGAGAGAAGCCAGGTATATATAGCCAACGGTGCCCTCATGTTTGAGATTCAAACACACTGTTTATATCTGTCTGTTTCAGATGAATCTACCCGAATGTGACTCACAGATAGAAACTTCATTCTGTTTTCGAACCTTCAAAGAAACTGCGTGGCTCCACGGGACCGCTCACCACCTTACCGCTTTGAGTCAATCCCAGTGAAAACTCAGACATGACGTCATGGTGTTTTCTTTCACTGTTTCGGCATGACTGTTGCCTAGCCATGCGAGTATCGACCGAGCCAGTCGAATCTCTGAACCGGCGTTCAATCTCAATATCAGATTGCAGACTCAGTAACAACTAAATCTCTCGCTGCTTTCTTCTAAAAGAGTGCCGAGAAGAGCCTACACTGTACAGTAATAGATGCAGAATATTCTAGAGTCAAGATTGATGCGAGGAGGATATGTACCGTATGTCTTATGTCTCGAAATCGTGGTTTACAATACATCTATGCTGGTACATTATATACTCGTTTCATATATAAGAACAACAAGCCAACAACTAGTGCATTCAACTAAGCAAGGCTAACCAAAGTACTAGACAAAAAGAATACAGCAAGTCAATCTTCAAATCTAATTTATAGATACCTTGCTATTCCTTCGAGTCTTCCCCAGAGTGCTATACCAGAAATCGCATATCTCTGGCTCAACTGCAATGTGACACAATTGGATACTACTCTGTTAAGCACAGAGTCAAGCCAGCACGAATGATTAAATCACGAAATTTTATGCCAGTCCAATGATTCTGTTCTCGAGGACGATAATAGTGGAAGAGAGGCCATCAGGTGTGATCTATTAACCAATTATTATTAGTACGTACAGCAGAAGGATCCTAACATATGCTGAAGTCAACTTACAGAATAGCTGCCGTCGGCAAGAATACGGTGGATCTTTCCAGAAACTTCAACTCCACTGCCTAGTATAAATTTGAGTAAGTAATTCTATCTGAACTGGAGCTTGATATAGGAGCGTACTGTTATAGTAACGGACACAATCTCCTGTGGTATACTGAGCCATGACGAATTTTGCTTGCGGTCAATGAAGAATTCTTGGGGTTTTGTTTGGAAAGGTTGACTGAAGACATTAATCTTCCCGGATGAACATGGCTATTTATCATCCAGAAACCCAGCGTGTCTAGAGACGCACTGACCTAAATATGTATGGTGGTCAGACCATCCATAGACCACTTCTTGGTTGGGACCACGCAAGTCTCAAGCTGCTGTGTAACACACCATGCCAGCTGGGCTGGGCTGCCCATATCACAAATGGATGCCCGCCTTGAATTTCCTGGTCTCCAAGGCTATGATACCTGCAGGTGTGGAAGATGTTGCCTAGCCACGAATCAGCATTGCCTCCCTAGACACACAGAGAGAATCGAAATACTGCAAGTATGAGTTGTTCTGCTAGGAATTCGACATGTCAGATGCACACAAAAAAGTGGCCCCATTTAGCCAAGGCCCAGGCGAGGTGAAGCACCAACAGACTTGGAGCGAACTCCTAATACGACCCTGCCAACTTGTGCGGAAAATGCGAGGAGTATCGCACTAGGCAAATCCTGGGCTTGTAATAGATACGACGACAATATAGGCCAGTTATGCAACTATCGTGTAAAGTCTGAGCCCCGCGTTGTAACTCTAGTAAGCCATGAATGGGTACTCAGCTACATGTGGACCATTTCTATAATCTGATTGTTGTCGAACATGATGTTATCATCGGCATCAAGTGAGGAGTGTCGAGGATGGATTATGGGTTCGGGGAAGTCCATGAAGTAGTTGATATGGGTAGAAAGTAATTTGCAATATGTGAACGTCAACATGCCCAAAATTTCCTATCCGTCCAAAAGTTGAGTTGCTTCACTGCACATAGTTGATATTTGGCTCTGTCATTACAACTTTTCATGTGTAAAGCAGACGACGACGTTTAGAGTGCCCAGTATCATGGATATCACGTGACCTTTTTGAAGAATGGACGCGTTCTCCGATCAGTTGGCGCCGGATTTCAGATCGATGGAAATCTATGATCATGACCCGACCGAGTTCATCATTCCATAAGATGTTTTGAAGTCGCAAATCGCCATGCAATACCCCGAGTTTACGGATAAGTGCCGTCGACCTTGAGATCTCAGTCAATCTCTCGCCCGTCCCCATTTCCCTTCCCCCCCACGCCATCAGTAGCATATGCCGGATTTCTCCAGCTCCATGGAGGAAGTAGGTCATTTTCAGATCAATAGCTCCCAGGAACACCGGGACTGCAAGCCCCTGTACCTTCCGAAGAACCTGGTATACTTCTGCTTCACGAGAAACTTCCTTCCAGAGTTTGTCCGTGGTCCCCTTTCCAACTAGTGTGTAGCCATATGCAGCGCATGTAATCTTGAACGGGGCGCCATACGATCCACAATCTCCGAACGGTGTACAGTTGTGGTCAAGATCCTGATCGAGCTGGTCCTTTAGCATTTGAACCAGTGTGTTAGTGTCGATACGGTGCCGGTTGCCCTGATGGCCATGGCGATGAAGATGAACATTCGGACAGGAATCATCGAGTGCGCCCTTTTGTTGGAGACCCAGCAGACATCGCTGTGTACAGAAACGTGATGTGTGCTGTTGGCGTTGGTCACTAGGGGGAGTCGAGTCAGCTGGACGTGTTGCTGAACGTTGACTTGACGGAGAGGACATAATTTGACTGAAGCCTCGCTTTCGGCCATGAGCTGCTGGGTTTGTATCGGAATCAGACGAGTCCATCGATTCCGTCTGAGAAACTTCAAGGTCCACGCATGTGCCTCGAGATCGGGAAGAGATTCGACGGGTTTGCACAGAAGTCGACTCTAATGGGGAGGATGGCAAGTATTCGGAGCCGGTGAATTCTGAGCTCGGATACTCTGAATCCGGCGGGGCTTCCTGCAATTCGTCATCAGGTATCTGTGAGCGCGTATGGTCGAAGCTGGTCTTCCATATATGTAGCTGGGATCGAGCCGCATTACGCCACGTCTGATCTCGGATTTGAGATTGGAAACTCATCAAACAGAGACATAACACCCTGCCAATTGTCGTTGTAGGCTGCTGGAAACTAGCAGAATCGTCCACATTTACCTCCATGTTCGGCTCGCATGGGAAATAATAGAGAGTACTGGGATCGTCATATGGAACGTGGAGAAGAACTAAGGCCAGGCCATTAGTTATATAGGAGTATTCAAGTCCTTCCTGGATCATCACATGATATTCTTGAGCCAAGACCGAATTCGCTAGCTGTTCCGCGTTGTATATTAGCTTTGCATTCTTCTCCACGGGGATCTCATTCCGGTTGACGACTTCTTCCCAAAATTCCATCGGCCGTAGACCCTTTCGGAGGTTCTCAACAGATAGCTTGTGCGGTGGTTTGTACTCCACCGTCGTGAGCAAGATGTTGGTGGTGCCGTCAACTCGATGGATACAGAATTGATCAGCCCTCGGATGTCGTGAGTTTGATCTATCCAACACTTCTTCATCAGCATCTTCAGAATCGTCCAGAGTATGCGCGTGGTTGTCAAATTCAACCCCGTTGCCGAGCCGGAATCTCTCTTGGGCAGCTGGTATTTTGCACAGCTCTGCTATGATATCATGGACGTGGTCTTCCACGGCAAAACGCTCGTAGCTCTCTAGGTCCTTTTCACTTCTGAGCACTCGGCGAGAGAAACGTCGACTCAGGCCATGTAATTCGGTAAGGGATGCAAACAATCGAGCAGGTTCCCTTCCCGCCGGCTGTAGGTAATCACAGACAGTATTGTAGATCTCTCGCTGCTGAGATGGACATTCTGACCAAAGGCGAAGTCGCGTTGGGCAGTACTTTCCAGATGGAGCCGGAATATGTCCCTTTGTCGATTTAGTTGGCGTGCCAACTTCTATTTGTTGGGAAAACAGCTCATGACAAGCTTGGACAAACTCTCGAAAAGTTGTTGGTTGGGTTTGTGTTTCTGCCTTCCTACGTAGTTCTGCTTCCCGTTGTTCTCGGTCTTCCGCTTGCTTGCGTAACTCTGCTTCCTGCCTTCGTAGCTCTGCTTCCCGTTGCCCTCGATCTTCTGCTTGCCTGCGTAGCTCTGCTTCTCGTTGTTCTCGGTCTTCCGCTTGCTTGCGTAACTCTGCTTCCTGCCTGCGTAGTTCTGTTTCCCGTTGTTCTCGGTCTTCCGCTTGCCGAAGTAACTCCTGTGCTCGCTGCAGAAGGCTCTTGTAATCCGGTGAGCTATGGTCAGCCATTAATGTGCAGAATGGTTCGACTCAGTTTATGACAGACGCGTTGTGAAGATCAGCCAGACGTTTTGGTTCAGTTGCGGATCGCGGATTAACTTAGATGCCGTTACAACCAATAGCCATCGATATGTGGGTCTTACAAACAGTACTAAGTAACGATGCCCACAACAAATGAACGTGAAGGACCATTACCCACCCTATCATCTCAGAACTCGATGGAATCGATTAACCCATTGTGCATCTTATGTGCATACGACTACTAGGTAGGACTTGTGAAGTGTGGCCACAACCTAGTAAGCCTCCTGTCTCGAAACACAGAGATGACTAACTAACCAATTTCCGGTGGTAGATCTTGTCACTAGCTGTATCGTACTACTGTATTAGTCGTCTGGCCCTTCTTTGTTAAATGCCCGAATATGGCGGAGCTAATTTCCATGCTATGAATATAACTAATCCTCGCTTTCAGACAAAAAGTCGAGTTTCCCAATCGATTTTCCTTCCGGTTCTACTCGCTTTAGTATACCGGTACTACAGAGTACGTATGACTAGCCGATCACTCTCACCTCGGTTCAGCCATTGACGTTCTGAAACATTTCGTCACTGTGTTTCTGGAACATTCTAAGCAATGTGAGTCATACTTCATGAGCCAGTTTTGCCGACTGGCATCATTAGGTTGCGTTTAATCAATGGCTCATCATTGCGCACGCTGTGCATGGTCGTCTTGCCGTTAATGTATCGACAGATCGGCGGTTGAGCCTCGTGGTGTCTAATATCTGAAATCATCCAATGAAAGACATGATAAATATACCTCGATTTTATCACCGGTGATAAAGGCCCACACACAGCACAAGCGAAGAAAAGCCTTACTTACCGATAAATTTACTCAAATAGTTCCCCCTTGAGCAACTTCACCACCCTAACAAATTTCACATCGTCATGGTGGAAGCATTGAGGGGTTCAGTGTAGATTGAGATATGTAATGAACAGCTAAACTCAATCATACTGTACTGTACAGGAGTCTCCTTCTTAGCTTGTGATCAAAATACGTCTTGAAAACTTAAGACGACATTCTTAAGGGCAGAGAGTGTAATGTATTCACAGGATAGACCCGGACATTTTTAAGAATGATGTGCCAAGTTTTAGGAATGCTCCGGTTGTAGGAATCAGCCATGAGTTCGTGAGAATGGTACGTACTGTAAGTATTTTTACTCCCGCAGCCCGCGACATCACAATATGAAATTTCCTCATTCTCCAGAACAGGCCAGATTCTGAGTGCACATCTTCATCCGCAGAGAATTGTCGAAAAGAATTTGATTTTCTACAGTACATTAAAGCTGGATCAAAAACAATATCTATTACTCAGACTGGTCATCTGCATGAAGACTCCCTCATCTTCCGTATCTACTGAAACAGATGAAAGTGACCTGATCATACTAGGACCCGACTTTTTGGGACAGGCCTCCATTCCCAAGAACAGGTCAGATCCTTCCTTTCACCATTCACCTGCAAGTAACCCTGGTTGGAGGTGATTATACATAGTATATGCGCGATCATGAGGCTCTTGAGAAGTATTATGAATCATCGCAATTGAGCTTTTATGAAAATAAATGATTTCATCAGTTACCCTGCATAGCAAACCCTTGATACTATGCTGTACCTTTCACCGTCGTGAAGAAAGAAAAGAGGGAGAGTTGGCTGGTGCTCTTCATGACTATGCACAATTAAATGGCCCATGGTGGTGCATCGATAGTTTCATCGGAGATTTCGATCGCTTTGGTTCATGAATACTGTATAGGAAGGCCAATCCATTTCAGATGGTCAAAATTGGATGAACCTGACTTGGCCATACCAAAATTCATCATTTCACGACTGGTCTCATACGAACATCTCGACATCATACATGTAGCTGGAATTCCATCGTACTATCATATTGATTCATGGGGTTCACAATATGACTTATGCATCACCATCACCTTCCTTCAGTTACTGACGGTTTAAAATACTTCGCCACTGTGTTTCTGGAACATTCTTAGCAATGTGAGTCACAATTTATGAGTCATCCTTGTCGACCAAAGTAACTAGCATTAGTAGATTGCGATTAATCAGTTGCTCATCTATTGAGCAAGCTCACTTATTTTCTTTTATGTTACTATATGCTAAATGTGAAATGTGAGATAGTTAAATAACCGAGTTCGTCTTGATTGTTTATGTCCTGCTCTGCAAGATCACATATATGTCGTTGTACGTTCTCAAAATCAGGTCGACTGCCTCTTAGCTTGTCGGTACCTGAACGAGGACGATTAGTCCTATCCCTCTCAATATCGGTAATGTTCCTACCGTAACAGAACCAAACAGATCGTTACCGAAACCGTATGGGATCAAGACAGCACCAAACGAATTGTTACCGACCCACACTTTGATGGGGTTCTTGGCCCTGTAAGGCTCTACTATGTACACTGCTTGAAGAGTACGGTATCGAGACTTCTAAAACTGTGGGAGATGACGTCGGTCCACTAACCACACTAGGAAAACACTCGCTACTGGTATTCTAATTTCAACGCTTGTACGGTCTTGCTTTGTACCTGCTGAGGATCACAGAGTAGGACCCTGATCGACCGCACTTGAACTGATCTCTTTGTTTCACATTCGATTCGATGTGGTTCCATACCCCACTCATGCACTGAGGGCGTATCTGTCTGGTGCCTGGCAGGATTACCTTGATTCGCACGTGGGGCGATTCCCTTTCGCGTCTGCGGGCTGCGCCGAGAACGAACTCATAGTAATCGATCCAACACTGCATTCTGTCTCTATTTTGGTTTGTGATAGGCACGATCTCAGTTCTCCTTATGAATTCTCTTCCGATTCTACTCCTCGCCTTTAAACTGATAATTATCTTGCAAACTTATCACGATTCAAAATGACTTTAATTCGAGAGTTGGTCGCTTTCAGTCTATGTCCACGGTTTTCGATGCAAGCTCGATTACGCGCACGCTGCCACCGGCTTACGCTTTTCACCACGCTTTTCACCACTTTTCACATTACCTTTCACCATTTTTCACCGTCTCCCTGGCCCTCATTTTGTTAAGGAGCCAAATATGGCTATCACCTTTAAAAACCTTTGCTCCCCCACCTACGATCAATCTCTTTTCCTTCTCATATCACCACTGGATTTTTCTCCCCGCTGTCCCCCCAACCATGACCTTGACAAGGATTCTCATAGACTCGGCATCAGTAGGTTCATACTCTCGCTTCGTTTATTGACTTCTAATCTAGAAAGAAAGTATCGCCTGATAACTTGAAAAGCATCAACTGGTACAGGATGAGGTTTATTACAGCCTATTTACGCATGCAAGGGATATTCAGGTAAGGTCATGGCTTTCTCCATAGTTGACTGTGACTCACGACTGGACAGTTCGATGAAATGTTAGCATTTAACTTGAATGCGCTTCTGACACTAGAGCCTCCTCTATTGCAAGAGAAGCTCGCCTCCGTCCAAAGACTTGTTCCCAAAAATACAACGATCAATTGTGACTTTGGACTAAAAACTCAGCCTTCCGGCATTCAATTTCAGTCCACGACACCGTTCTCCTCGCGACATCAAGGTATTTCTTTTAGGACATAGTATTCGTGAGAAACCTGGTTAAACTCATGTTTCTTCTGCAGATACTATTCGTGATGGGACACTGTCAAATGATATTCACTCCGCCCAGAACATCCCCTCCGTCGAAGCAGATCCGAACACGAACAACACCGATTATCATATGGAGCAGGTTGATGCCCAGGACTCTGAAAATAGTCCTTGGTCCACGGTAGATACCATGCCTGACTTGGCACACATGGGCGACGATCAAACCCTTGACAGCTACCTAGATTTTCAAGGCTTTGATTGCTCCACTGCCATAGGGAACACTGATCACGACAGACAATCTTGCTCCAGCTTGGCAGCATCAACTTTGATCGGCCAGTCATCACTTACCGTCTCATCTAGGGAATCCTACTCGCCTAGCCATAACATGGGAGAGTGCATGCCGGCTGATAACCATCTGAGGGATGCCCCTGGGATGGAGTCCTATCCTACTCCTGTGTCAAACCCCTCATATACCCCAAAGTCAGCGAATCGTGCACTGACAAAGCCCCGCAAAACTACACGAGCAGGTGGAAACCGGCCAGCGTCAACACTCGCCGTCTCGACAGGGGTTGATCTTTCACCCCTCAGTGAAGCTGACTCCGTGCGTTTAGGTCTACTCAGGTCTCTGATACTTAAGTCTCACGAAGTGGATCCTAAACGCGGGACCCGTCGATCCTTCAATGATGAGGATTTGCGTGAGATTTATAGACTAGGTGACAGGATAATCAACGAGACGGCTCGTGTTTTGAATGACTGGAGTGAGTGGTCGTCACGAGAGTTCCAACCACCTAACGCTGTGCTTTCTCCATGCCACGATCTTTCGCCAGTGGAGATATGTGCAGTTGCCTTCCGATTTTTGATGGAGACACACAATGGCATTCATCGCAAATCAATACATCGTCGTCTAGCACAAATTCTCCTTGACAACTTTGTTGCGGAAGTGGAACAAGAGATCACTACGAGAGAAGGCCAAGGTGTCTTCATCCGTTATGACGGTGGCACAGGCCGTAAATCAGTAACCGTTGCCCATGATCTGACCATAGCAAAGGTGGGCATCTCCGAAAAGAATGGCAAAAAATGTAACCGAGAGGAAATCGGGAAAGAAAAAAGTCCCGGCAGGCGATGGTGGAGACTAGGAAGTGGTATTGGAGTCGTTACTGTCCTCACCTGTCCATCCGACTTTAATACTCTCATGTGAGCCAGCTCTCATCGTATCGGTTGTCGGGTGCTTACATTGTGCTAGGGATAATAGATCATTCTCGGATGATTCTTTAAAGCTCTTGGTCAGTTACGTGAGACACGCGTATCCCAACGCTGTAGCTCATTTCCAGTCACTTGACCCCGTTATTCAAGCCCTTTTCGCTAATACGTCGCTGATCATAAATGCTTCTGCCGGCCTCGATCCTTTGTATTCACGATTTAATCCTATTTCTGAAGAAGTTCGGTGGTTTGATACCATTGAAGCAATGGCCGCCTCAACGAGACAGCTCCTGCGCATCTTCAGGCAGAACTAATATAACGGCTGTCTGTCTTTTCACTTTGATTTTCCTAACTCATGCTATAGCTGTTCGTACTTTGTTCAGTATTCTGGAGAGATTATATCTAATATAGATGCTTTCATTCATTTATGCTAAATAGACTCGACGTAAGCACTTGAAAGTGATGTGGCTGAGCTCACCATTGTTCCTACATACAGTAGTACAGGCAAACAGTAATTACCAACCGGCTGGTTGAACTTAACTCACATCTAACTAATCATTTACCTGACAAATTAGCTAACGCTGAGGCCTGTCTGGAAAGGCGTCTTCATATGGCGTAGAAAGCGATCAATGGAAGGACGATCCCTGTGACTTATACCAGGATACTTTTCCATAGCGTTTATCGAATGAGAACATATGATTGCCTTTCGATTTGGACAATAAGAAACCTCCCATTCCAAATTCTTGACCACAAGATTGGAAGCAATGACCATTAGTGTCGTTATGGCTTTAGCTGCTTTCATGAAGGCGTCGCTTTGCTTCATCATCCGCGCTTTGACTGATGAAGTTCTTTGAAGTTGTCTTTAGTGGCCTGGGCCAATGGCGTTCCTGCTATTTTTAGTCCAGGGGAAACCATTCGACGAGGGGAGGTACGCACGAGATCTCGGAGAGACGGACAGAAAGCTTCGGTAGAGTCGGACTGAAAAGTGAAGATTCGACCAGTGCCTCTTAGCCGGATCACCATATAAACATCAGCATCGCACTCAACACTGTAGGTGTAGCCCTTTTTGAAAAGAGTCTTCCTGAGCCTGCCTCTTTGTTGACTCCGAGCTCGCGGAGTATCCAGCTGACGTTTTCTGGGATTTGGATCTGCAGTCATTTTATACAGTTATTCAACTCGGCCTGACTTGATTCACTGCATCTTTCGAATGGGGGATCGTTCTTATTTATAGAGTTAGTAACCATCGACTCTTGAGTGTTTGAAACAGGATGGCACCATGTTTTCTGTTGAAACCAAACTGGATGCTGATGTCATCTCTGCCTCTGAAGACTATATAAGATCATCAGCCCCTCGTCTACGACATTGTCCACTTCATTGTTTAGAATTCGCTTCTCTGATTTATTCATGGATACCGTTAACATCTATGGAACTGCCTTTGGTGGCATCCTTTTACTTCTCATTGTGGCCCGTTTCAGACCCGCTCTCTGTGATTTGGCTCGTATGCTCTCTATTTTGGTGTCAAAATATCTCGTTTATCCATATATGCTGAATCGTCATCGATGGTTCGGGCCGTGGACGTGGGCAGGCATCATCAAATGTCTAGGATACGGTGCTCTAAACTGCGTTGTCATTTTGTACAATGTCCACTCCTACGAGGAGGCTAGTGTTCGGGCAGGCAGACTTGCTCTTGTCAACATGACAGTCCTATTCATGGCTCCTCACCCGAGTATCCTAGCGGACATCCTTGGAATGTCCCTAGCGGCCTCCCAATGGATACACCGTGCGGCTGGGTGGATGACTTGTGCTTTAGTGACGACTCATGTATTGACAATTCAGCAGGACGTCGACCCGAAACAAGGGGAGATCCTCTTCGCAATTATTGTAGGCAGGTTCACTTGCTATCAAGATGTCAGAGCTAACTACTATCTAGGGCGCCGTCTCACTAGCGACGATTATCATATCTACCTTTCCGGTCATCCACAAGCGGATCTATGAAATATTCTTGCGAACCCATCAAGCCTTTGCAGTCCTATTCTGCTATTCTATTTGGCGCCACTTGTCCTCGGGTTCCGTCTTCCCACGACTGTATCTCTACGTCCCGTTGTCTATCCTCTGCTTGATCACTGTCTACCAGGTTGGAAAGTTTCTATACCAGAACAACTTCCTCTCATCCCGGCCAAAGCCGCGTGCAACAATTACCTGCAGACCAATTCAGCCACCAATCTCTGGGAACAAGGGAGGCTCTGGAAAGGAACTGGAAAACGATACCGGGAGCATCATAAAGATTCGTGTTACTCTGGGTCGGCCTCTTGGCATTGGTGCCGGTCAGTGTATTCACTTGTGGATGCCCTCAGTGAGCCTCGGCTCTTGGATGCAATCACACCCTTTCGTAGTTACCTCTTGGTCACCAGAGAAGCAGACTACGCTGGAATTATTTGTCCAGGTGCGTCGAGGATTCACCGCAACTTTGCACCAACGAGCCTCTGCCAGTGGATCCGCTTCGTTCTGTGCGTTCGTGATGGGTCCGTTTGGGATCAGCCACTCCTTAAGTCAGTATGAGACCGTCGTTGCTGTGGCCAGCAATGCTGGTATTGCTGGTGTGGTTCCCTATCTTAAACAGCTTCTCTATAGCTACAACACATTGACAGGTCAAATCCGCCGTCTGCATCTCGTGTGGGAAGTTGACACCCTAGGTAAGCAATGACCATTTATACATACGCCCCGAGCTAATCGATATAGATATGGTTGTTGAAGCGCAGCCTCTACTTAATGATCTTCTCAAAGACGACAGTCTTACCAACGGCTATGTAAGTCATACCAGGTCCTTTGGGGGTCGCGCCTAACGACTGGAAGATATTTGAAGTATCGATCTATACTGAATCCGCCCACGATAACGGAGAATCCTTCGGAGAACACGGTCGTGCTTTCCGATATCATGGGAAGCCTGATTACAACAAAATCGTATCCACCGAAGTGGCAGATGACTATATAGAGAGAATCCCTAGCACTCCAGAACGGACTGGGGAGACTCTGATACTGAGTACGTCTTTCATAAAGTCGATAACTGATTGGAATACTAACATCGTTATAAAGCTTCCGTCTCAAACCGATTGAGAGATCATTTGAAGTCTGTTGTTCGTCGATACCTTGGTAAGAAAGTTACTATGCAGGAAGTGGACTATCGGCCGTCTGAGGTTATCGCACAGTGATTGTGAGGAATGTTTCTCAACCTAAAGTGTTCTTTAGTTTACCAGATAGACAATGCCATGACGTCATTATGTTCCTGTTTCAAAACACGATCGACCGTGCAGGTTCTAGCGCAACTGTTAGACCCACATGTTCCTGTTTTAAAAACACGACCGTGCAAGTTCTAGCGCAAGCGGCTAGACCCACATCGGGAACAAGTTGATGACGTCGTCGCCCAGTCCGAGCTTATGCCTTTGGAACTGAGTGCTTAGTTAACTACTAGACAAAGTTAATATACCGGATAACGTAGCTACCATATAGAGGAAAGATAGAATGACTTATGACGAGTAGAGGTATGGTACATCCTTTAGATACAGTAGAGGTTGCGACCGTTCATACAATAGAAAAATACGACACGCAGTATTCGCGAAGCCTAAAATCAGCTATTCAATGGGAACTAATAGAGTAGAAAGTGCGTGCAGAAACCAGTGCAAATCGAGCCAATCCCGCCAAATAATCTTTTGAGAATTTTGCGGTCTTGAGTATATACTGTACAAACGTTAGATACTCCCTTGTCTGTCAATGGTTTGATCTGAACATACATCTTTCAATTCATCGACAGATTCAGCTGTATCCGTCTTTAGGAGGAATTGAAAAGCCAGGGAGTCCATAGACCAGCGATCTACATTATCGATTCCCTTAGCGCCGTTTGACTTGGTATATTTTTGCATGAGCAATGTGGCTATTGATGCGACGGCATCGATTGACTTGGCCTGGTCCGGAGGTCCCTTCACACAGCAATCCAATGCCGCTGAGAAGTTGGTTAGCTCTTTCTTCCCGCACATTGAGGTGCTCTTACCGATCTGGATCGTGCCATCCATCCCCAGCAGGATGTTGGAGCAAATGAGAGCCTGGTGGTGATACCCACATGTGTGGAGAAAGGATAGGCCGCTGAGAATCTTCGGATATGTTTAGTGGTCCATATCCATGATCAGGGCTCGTGGTGTTACCTGTGCCAGCGCGGATAAGACTTGAGTGTCACGAGGGTAATAATCACAAGCCACCAAGTGGTCCAGAGTCACCGGGAGATCGTCAAACACCATATATACGGAATCTTCATGTGTGAAGTATTCTCGAACGAGTAGGATATTCTCATGTCGAATTGTATGGAACTTCTCCAATATATCTTCGGAATCTCCTTTCTTAATTGTCCGTATGGACCTTACCTCCGACGGATGGGTACGGACGGTAGCTATAGAAACGTCACCGGCGAGGTCACAGTTGAATATATGGTTGTAGTGTTTCCAGGGCGAATCTTTCCAGCCACGCAACTGATGTTCGGCTTTAGCTTGAAGCACGGCCATGGGCAGTCCCAATCTCCTAGGACCACCAGTTATCTTAGTAGAAGATTTTTTTCCTGTGGTCTTTCCGCTGTCCGCTCCTGTTTCCGCAAGCCTGTTAAGGGGTTGATGCGAGGATTTTACTGAGGCATTGTCAGATGCACCAACAGTAAGACCCTGAGATACGTTGTTCGACATTATAGACACAAAACCAACTGCCACGGAAAGACCTTCATTACGCTGGGTGGCTCGGACAGGGGAGAAGGGGAATTTATGTGAAACCTTACAATAAACGAGAAAGCAAACGAAAACTGGGGGTTTCAAAACAGGGAGGCGTGGAAACGGTGTCCTGACGCATCTGCTTGTTTCTCATCTGTCGCTGTCAACGAAATCATAGACATGAACCCAATAACCACGGAAAGTCCTTCGTTATGTACGCTGAACCGGACAGGAAAGACGTAACATTTATACCCGAAACCTTATAGTAGACAGGAAGGGAGACGGAAGGGCTTCAAAACAGGAAGGGGTGGAAACGGTGTCCTGACTCATCCGCTTGTTTCGCATCCGCCGCTGTCAACGAAATTATAAATACCCCCGACGTGCCAACCCAACCATCGTCTCTCACAATTTCTCGATCGTATATTGATTGAGTGCCATACGTCAACCACCCCTGCTCCGACATGGATCGTTCCATGTTCAGCAGTACGGAGCTACGATTAGCTCGAGAAAGACGCCTAAAATTCCAGGGCACAGCAAAGATCAATATCAGCCAAATATCCCTACCTTCCGAGTACAAACCGGACAATGTGGAGAGGCTGCGCCGTATCTTTGACAGTGAAGATTGCGACCGATTATCATTGCCAAATCATGTCGTGGCGACCATCTCGAGGGAACACCTCATGAGTGCCCTGAGTGGCAACGAGGTAAACGCCAACGCTTTGATGAGTCAGTCGCCAGATAGCTACGTCGCCCTTGAGTTTCCGATTGGACAGGTGACGTGCCTGCACGGACAGCACCGTTTGAGAGCGGGAAGGGAGTTCTTGGCACCTTATGACCGGTGGTGGACAGTCGATCTATATTTAGACGGTAGGTCTAGATTCCTCGTTCATTGTTACTGGGGTCTGACTCTCGACGAGACATCAGTCGGGAGCTTGAGACGGAATTAACGGATGAATATGCTAATGAAGCGACACCGACCGATGGCGAAGTGTATCGCAAAGTCCGTCAGTATCAGTACGAAGCCAGTGCTCGCTTCGAAGAGCGATGGCTGTCCCGGCTAACAGAAAACAAACAAAAGCGGATGCGACAACTGTCACAGCGGGAAAATAGTTCGATCCGCTCGGCTTTTGACTCGTTGCTGCCAATTACGGGTCTCTGGAATGGGATGAGTATTGGCAACCTTCCTCGGGTCATTGCCGTGAAGTGTGATGAGGTTCGTATTCCCTCGGCGCCATGAGACTGTTGCTGATGCAATCAGGAAATTATTCACTACCTCTGTTTTATCAAGGACTTCTGGTCATCACTAGTTGAACATGACCGATCTCGGATGGAGAAGATTGATTGTATGACTGTGGAAAAGCTCCAGCTTCTGGTTCCAGGAGGGTTGGACCGGACCAAAGTTAAAGGCCTCGTGCTCAGTGGTGAAGCATTCCCAAAATTCAGCCAGGCAGAACGCAAGTCTATCTGGAGGGTTTTGCGCCGTCGCGGTGAGATTGTCCCATCGCTTCACACTTTTTTCAAGGACCTTTCTTACCTCGAGGTCACATCGAGCTGCCTTGGACGATTAGTCGACCTCGCGGCCATGCGCAAGCGCACTATGCGGTCCGCCATGAAGCAGATCTACAACCCCACGAGACATGGTCGCGGTCGCTATCAAATGCAAGTGTCCGAGACGGAATTCCGATCATGTTCCGGGACGGTGGAAGAAGGCAGAGAGAGTGGATATCGACAACTCTGGCTCTTTGCCTTTCGACACTACCTCCAGATGCCGAGAGCGCGTCAGAAAAAGAAGCGACATTCCAAAACCAAGTTTCGAGAAGCCAACGATGGAGTCGTGCACCGAATGGCATCCCTAGCCCTTCAACTAGGATTCGACTCACCGCAGATCCGACGTCTCATAGACGACTCGCCAGATCGCCGGCTTGCGCTGGAAGCGCTTCTGAAGGCGCGTGACCGTGATCAGTATCGATATGATTCTATCGATACGCTTGTCAATCGGATCGTGGCATGTTTTAACGAGGCCGTCCCGGTCGAGATTCGAGACCGACGCGCCTCAGCTCCTTTTTCCACCATCCCCAGACAGGGTCGATGTGGGAAACCAAGCCTTGAGACTCACGAACAAGAGCAGAACTTTCTCTTCCTTGATCAGATGGAGAGCCAACCATCGGATGAATCCGTTTCCGCACTCTATGTGAGAAGATGTGTATATTTCGCTTTCTTTGGTCGACCGTCCGAGACTCCACCAACCCCCGTGGACGAAGACCATTCAACGCGCCATAGCTCCCCTCATCCGCCTCCGTCGCCGCTGTTCGTCCCTGAAGAACACAATCCGTCGAACGACCACCAGATGACGGAGATCTCGGATCATGTGACTGACAGACCTGATACGCAGCATCGGAATAGTAGACGCGAGGAGCGGCGGGAACGGCGACAGCGGCGGCGGCAAGAGCGGGAGACTCGGCGGCGGCAGAGAGAGTCTCGCCGTCAACGAATGTCTAATGGTGGACAGGAAGGCGGACCGGCCGCCAGGCGCCCTTCTGTAGACCAAAGCCACCGAGAATCAAGTCGCGGGTCTTCCGGAAGTATCACTGAGGTGGAAATCGACGCTAGGAATGAACCTGAATCTACACAGCTGGAAGATACTACAATAGAGGAACCAAGAGGTAACACATTCACCGCTGACCATACACCAGTTGATCCACTGATAGTGGAACCGATTGAAACCAAAGCCACACTCGGGGAAGATGTCCACGGGGTGGACACTCTTGATGAGATGATGGCGCCAGAGATCGTTATCGATGATGTTGAGGACAACGCTAGACTGCACGGCTCCACAGAAGCAAATCCACTAGGAGAGATAGACGAAAACGAGTCTCTAACTCGACACGAACCTGACCACCTTGGAGAACTGCCGTCAGGTCATCTTACAGAGGATCGTCAAGCCGTTCTCAGTGCCTTCAAAAAGGATGCGGCTGTTCGACGACGAACCCGACGCTCAGTACTCAAGCGGACGGTCAAATCCAGACGACAGGCTGCGGCGCAGACCCGTCTCCGCGGGAAGAAATATCGTCTGACGCAAGTAGATATAAAACAGGGGCATAAGTTCACCTCCGATACAGATCTCCCAATCCGAAGTCCACTCGATGACGTTGTAGCGGAAGAGAGGGCCCAAACGCTTGCGCAGTTAGAAGAGCGTCCAGTCATCTCCGAATCTGCTGTTGCAGATCATGCTGATCTTCCCCAAACGTCACCCCTCCCTTCTGTGCCAGAGTTCCTTGATAGAGTGCGCGAGCCCGAAAGTGCAGTGGAGGAGAGTCATGAGACCACCAACAGTGGGGAAGACCTGCACGAGACAGCAATAGAGGACCGTATTATGACGCCAGAGATTATCATCGACGAGCCGTCTCCTGAGTTGAACACCCCCACAGAAGCAAATCCACCACCGCGAGAAGTGGCTAACGGTGAGGCTCTAATTCGACAAGAAGAAGACGACCGTCTTACAGAGCTTCCCTCCACACTCCGCTTATCAATACAGGACAGGGCTGCTCGACTGCGATTAGCCAAAGCCAGACGACAGGCTGCTCGACGTTCCCGACACTTAGGACTCAGGCGATCTGCCAAAGCCAGACGACAGGCTGCAGCACAAACACGTCTTGGTGGAAAAAACCATCGTCTCACGCAAGTCGATGTGACGCAAGGGCCTCAGTTCACCCCCGGTGCAGACCTTGGAGTCGAGAATCTGCCTCCAACGGAGGATCTCACCGGGCAGAGCCCACTTGAAGCGGTGGTGGCGGACGAGAGGGCGCAAACACTCGCCCAATTAGAACAGCCTCCAGCCGTCTCTGGACGACCCGTTGCGGATCCTGCCAATTCACCTCTGCCTTCGATGCCAGAATTGATTGCTCGGTTGCGTGAGTCTGAAAGCCCGATCGAAGGTAATGACGGAGATGCAATTGGGAATTCTCCACAGCAGCATCCTCAGGAAGACCTGCGGCAGGAGCGCAGTGAATCGCCGAGCCGAGAAGCTGCCAGACCGGAAGTACTGACTGACGACAGAGAATCCCGTCGCAAAGTCCCGAAAGACAAAAGAATCGCCGAGGAAGCACGACGTCGACTGGAAGCCAAGCACCGGGCCGAAAATACCCCACGAGCAGCCCTGGAATTCGAAGATGACTTCACTCAGACCCAGAGTGGCGACGATCTCTTCAATGACGGCGACCGTAGTGAGCCCGCGCCACTTGATCCTGCTGCTGCTGGAGAAAGTCAGAGGCGTCCATCAGCCAGCTCTCCCAGCCAACCTCTTAAGGCTGGGCGAAAACAATTTGCTCGGCATGCTCGCCAGCGTCCATATGGGCGTCCGATCGAGAACGGCCAGGGCGACCGAGATCGACCACTCACGCAGATCAACATGCAGCTGACGGGTTCCGATCAGCCCATTGCCCACGGAGATCCGCCACTACCGCCCATTCCTCCGGTTGACCAACGGCTGACTGAGAACCCTCCCAACACGCTTCCCGTTCCCGAGCCCAGTGATGGTAGTGTCGACCGCAGGAGGAAAGCAGCCGACCGGATTCGACAACAGCGGCCACCTGCTGTCGCGAGTTCTCCTCCGATCATCTTCTGGACTTGGACGGGGCTGCGGTGGATGGAGGAGACCAGAGTTGTCGCTGATCGATCCGACCCACTTCGCGTCGAGCGCGAAGCCAAGCGCTTTGTGGAAGCTCATCACAACCAACTACGAGACGCGCGTATGCGCATACTGATGCCCTCACAATGCCTTCCGTCGGCTCGAGAGGATGGGAGTCATTCCGTGTTTCTGACCCTCGAGAATCAGACCATTACGGACACCATGGAAAAGGCGGCGATGGAAAAGGTGGCATCGTTGTCCATGCACTCCAGACACCACCGCCCTTGATTCGCTGGTTTGCCTCCAATGTGACTCAATGACGCGAGGCCGTAAGGATGGCTGAGCCAGGAGACCGCATCTTGGCGGCTCGTTCGGCTCAATGGTTACTGGGGAGGCACATCGGCAGCCAGTTGGCAGGTTGGGCTTGTTGGCCCCGGCCATATGGCCCGGTGCGCGATCAGGACAGCTCCAAGTGTAGTTGTCCACTTATCTATGGCCTTGATGCCCCCGCCTACCGTCCAGTGCTCTACCTCTATATCCCTTCGGCCATCTGATAGACGTGGACTTCTCTTTACCGCTGCACGGAATATGAGGCTCTCGACCAATGTCCTAGTACGATGGACGTCTAACGCGACCATATGGTGGCCGCACCACGGAACCCTTCGTATGGCCCCCTCAAAATCAAAAGATGAACTATCTAGAACGTATACCGTCTTGGGATGCGTTGACCAGGTTTCATAGGCGTCTATGATTGATATGATCCCAGGAAAGGTTTCCTGAGACGCAAAATGGACTATTAAATCTATGTATGTATGTATGTATTCCAGCCGCTCTAGCTGCTATGCAGCGCTCAGCTGTAAATGGTCACTGTGTGTATGGTAGCCTATAGATCACGACAGCACAAAGCTTAATCACTTCCCTGTGGGAGCTATAGTTACTTGATCAGACTCGTCCTTGTGTCATCGATGCGTTGCAATTAAGCTTGAATCTCCCAAATCCAGATAGCTGAGTCATTTATCTGTCCCAGAATGCGAAACATGAAGCTTATTAATCTGCCTGAAGACCGAGCTCCACAGCTACGTCGGTTCTTTGATGGCTTGCTCACTAACCAGAGAACGGCGATCAGGATCTGGCCATTCATACATTGATGCGAACGGAGTCGTCAGCCAGGGCCGAATCCAAAGAGACCGTTGATTATTCAAGGAGTTATATATGGGCAATGCGAAAATGAGTATGGTTAAGTGGAACTCTGCCTTGTTCTAGCTTGAGCACTGCTCTGTGGTGAACTGACTGTTTTTTTTCTAAAAGTATCCTTATTCCACTCTTCACCTGGCGCATTTCTCAATCTTGGAAGTGTATTTGGCAGTGGGTAGAGTCCGGGCTGCATTCGTGTAACATCTTCCAACTCCTTGCGGCTATGTATTTCCAGAGATGTTGTGGATTGCTCAGTCTTATCAATGTGAAGTCGTGACCATTGTAGATCCCGTCCTGTAGGCGAACAGGAGATTTGAAAAATAGCATTCCATCATCTGTAATAAGAGCAATAGGAAGACGCCGGAGGTTCCTTTCTCGCTTATGAATGTATTTTTTAAACCGAAAAGCTAATTTTGGGGGGAAATTTGTTTCTGTGCTCTGACTGATATCGAACATGACGGACTCGAGCGGCGTGAACGTTGGGGGAAGTCTCCTATATTCCTCCCGCTGATGAAAGACTCCGAAAGTTCTTACTCCAGACAAGCTAAATGGCGGTTGTCCGTGCGCTATTTGTTGAACAAAGTCAATTGCACTTTGCCGGTGATCGTTCAACCCTAAAGACCAAGCCAACTTTATTCCGACAGGGATCAGTAGCTCTTCAAGTCCTTTGCCAAGTAAGAAAGCCCAAGCGTTCCGGAACATCTGTAAGACCATCTCCCTCCGTATGCAGTGCTTTTTGACTGCAAAGATTAATTGCTGGATCATTAGACATGAACCCCGGTTCGGAAAAGGCTTTGCTTGGAGGTCAAGTTGAATGGCACGTTGCTGGATGTTTGAAACAATGGAAGTGATAATGCACAGGTCATTATTTTTGAAACATTGGTACAGATGCTGGCAGGTTCGGATGATAGAAAAGAGGCTCTCAAGGTCTGGTAGATCTTTGAAGACCATAATGACCAGTTCCACAGGGATTTCCGTGAGATGAAGGGTTAAGTTTTGTTTTTATATCATTGCCCAAGTCGGAAGCACGGTCACAAGGAACGATTATCGGAGAGAGATGAAGGTCAGCTACTCACTGAGAAGTTTCTATACTGGAGGGGTATCGAGAGGCGAAAAGCATGCATTCTGATGAATATTGAGGCTGCTGGTAGATGAAGAGGAAATGGAACGTTTAAGTAGCATGGGAAAGCAAATGAAGAAGACGAATATGCCTGGTCCAACGCTTGGGAAACCACGATGTGCCTGGAGGGAGAGCCCCACCAGCTAATTCAGTTCTTGAATAGCACCCCTTCGACATAAGTTAATTTATATGTAACTTCTCTTTCCTCCAAGAGGGACGATGAGCTCCATGCCATCCATACATTGACCAATACCGTAAGGCAGATGTCAATTAAGCTTCATTTCTCATCCTGCAAGTAGAAGACACTGATAGCATAGAGTGAGTATCTTCGTGAACCTTTGCTTCACTGCCAAACCACATCCTCAAATATCCCCGGCACTTCCAGTTGGTGTCGCCTCCAGTTGGTGTCACTTCCATTTGATTGACGCGGTACCGTTTCTGTCGACGAACCTAACCGGTTTTGTTCTTTGGCATTTGGCGTCGAGGTGTCCGTTGAGACGTGAGATTTTGTCTCAAAGCGAAACATGTTTCGATAGTGGACATGGATGTATCGAGACCGCATCGTACCGATTGGTACAGTGCCTTACCGGTACGAATTATTTCCAAATGCAGTAGATACCTCTCCGATGAGTGCAATGAGTCACACTTCCGCTGCAGATTTCCAATGGGCGAATCTTCAAGTATATAAACCGTACATCCCACCACGAGGACACTGTATCATTTCTAGTTCTACAGGCTGAGACAGTATACGTTAATCTTAGTTTAAAATGAGTCGACGACGGATCGCCAGATTGTCTCTCAATAAGACTGTCAATGGTCCCCCAGTCCTTGTTCGTGATGGTGAAGACCAAATCATTGCAGACACGGAGGCTAGCCACCTTCCCTTCAGCTGTGCGGAAAGCGTTCAAGACTCCCGGATGGACAGCATCTTCGTTGTATTCCCCCGCACGTACGGAGATGGATATTCTGGAATGAAGATAGGCGATCTTTCTTGTCGGCCAACGTTGGTCAAGAAAATTGCCATTGGTGACACCTTTGAAAAGAAAGATCTTGTGCGGCGAACAAGTCATCCAAATTTGGTGAATCTCACAGACGTGTCAGTCAACAAGGACGCAATCTACTTCAGTTATGAGAGAACGGGAGCTTCCTTGACAGAATTGCTCCCGTTTATAAGGGGGGATGAAATCGCAGTGGCCAGTATCTGCAAGAAGGTCTCAAAGGACAAACATCACTATTGGTAATGTAACTACTGACTAATGGATAGATCTTGCACGGTTTGATGTATATCCATGACGTTCTTAACACCAGTCACGGAGATTTAAAATGCGACAATGTACATATCAGTGAAGATGGCGAAGTCAAAATTGGTAATTCATCGCGCAAAAGAATACGCACGATCAAATTCGCTAATGCATCGGTAGGAAATATTGGGGAAAGCCTAATTCGGCTTGGAAACAATGGGGATTCTGCCCGCGATGTGGAAGCCGTGTACAAAATTGCGGCGACTCTGCTTGGTACCTCAAGCAGCTTGAGTATTGCTCACGTATCAGGACTAATGGCCGATCATTTCACTAACTTGCCGAACCATATTTCTCCACGGGATGTTCTCAAGGTACGGAGACATGCAACTACATTATGGCTCCATGGATCTAACGATTGGATAGCACCCCTTTTTCCGAATCAGCCAAGATTCTTGGTATCTATCACACCTTGGCGTGACACACTCACTCCTTGCCCATACCTACGCACAGACGAAGCCGGGCAGCCATGAGGATGCCGACGAAGAGGACGGAGAAGAATGTGTATAAGCATCAAATATGGTCGTTGCTCGTAGCGGTTCGTCTGCGCAGCCATTCAATCGTACCTTTGAGAATTTTATTTTCGATCTACGTTTTGCTACTCTCCTTGTGTTCTTTGAGTTTATAATCCTTTGAGAATGAGTATTTCCTAAAACCAGATAGCTTGAACCATTTATCTGTCCTCGGAATGTGAAACACAAAGCTTACTCATGTGCCTGAAAGCCCCACGAGCGCCACTAAGCGATGGGGACGGCTCTGTCTTCGAATGAAATTTCCAATGACCAATGACAGTATTATTTGGATCGATTCAGCGCAAGACTCATGTACAGGACTAGCTCAGGCACCAGCCTTGGCTGTGGTTCAACAGAAAGAAAGTGTAGGTAAAAAGATGGAGGTACGTTTTGGCGGGTATAATCAATGGCATAAAATATAACGATAGGCAAGATTGCAAAAATGACGACACAGTAGGCTGCCTGCAGCCACGATCTAAGCCTGCCTCAGGCAGCGCAAAAAGGACGGTGTCGCAGCTAACATTACATCGTCGGTCTTCACCCACTGGATGCTCTTGGGAGGGCTATTGAAATGCAAGTGTGAGTGGTGTGGAGGCTCACTGAATGCAACAGAATCATCTGTGGCCAATGAGGAATTGGCAACAAGGGCTTGAAGGGCGGAATCGAGCGATTGGAAATACGCGATGGCATCTGGATATGCGTTTCTCAGGTAGTTGACCAAGAGTTCCAGGGAAGCATCATTGAAGCCACGGTCCTCACAGCCACGGTTATCACTGGCACAATGTAAGCTCAAGTGATGACACGGTCGAGCGGTGACTTACAAAAATTTGGCCATGTGCGGCGCACAGGCGAAGACATGGATGATTCCGATCCCACTTCCAAGTCTCCACCACCGTTTACCAAGATTCCGATTGTCACTGAGATACTTCCGGGTGCACTCCTTGCCATTGACCTGAAACCCACGAAGCATGGCGACAATGGAGTCATGGGCGATGGTGATGGATTTCCGACTCTGAGGATTGAGGGATGTATTGTCTAGCTCTTTGTCGTATTCGCTAAGGCAAATGTAAAGAAGTATTCGTGCGAGTCGTCGATGGATGGATTTCCGTTGCATGTCATTATTAGTCTTCATCAAAAATTGAGACATAGAGGTACAGATTGCCTTTAGCGAAAGGCTGTGGCAGGGTGGAAGCAAAAGTCCGTCAGATGGGAAATTTCGGAGCAACCAGCCATTCCAATCATCCAAGACAGCAGCCGTGTGATGAATGATACTATCCCCTAATTGATAGATCTCCCGCAAGGTCTGAATGTTCTTGGATAATCCAGCGTGGCCCATCAGAGACCGAAGAAGATCCAAGCGTATGTCCTGAGTTTCACTCAACACGTAAAGATCGCTCACTACCATTGGATCCTCGTTGTGCGAGATGTCTGATACATCTGGTTCTCGAAAGCCGATGGGCGGTGATTCCAAGAGATCTTCCATCGCTGGTGGGGAACGTTCATCTAGTGACCCACGAGTCCTAGTTTCCGTCGTATAGTTGGCAGGGCTGGGGGTATACGAATCGCTAGGGGTTGGATACGCCGCAGCCGCAGCGGCATCGTCGGAGACTTGGTCACACCTAGCGTGATCTTCCATCTCCTACTCAGACATGTAATGGTCGCAGATCGGGTCGTCCTGAGTCCATGCTGAGAGGCCAATCAACGGTAATGTTGCAGGGTAGGTAGTGGAATCGGAAACCATGGTGTTATTGAGAGCAGTGGATGCTGTTATTGGTATGTTGTCTCCATATGATTGATAAGGATCCCGCTCTAGGGATATTGGCGTAGATGTAGAGCCTGCCATAGGGTAACTACCGGGTACTAGCTCCGGGAAACCGTCCATTTGCAGTTCATCACTGGCCATCGTTGTAGGTTGAAGCCATTGCATACCGATCGTATCCGTGTTTAGAGAGGGGACCGTGTCACTTGAATATGGTCTCTTCTCGCTTTCGGCTTCTGTAGGATTTGTCCAATTTAGCAACAGCACCGTAACACCGTCTTTGTTAAAAAAAATACCTTTCCCGGGGAGGTTCGACGGGTTGGATCCGAGATTGAAACAGATGGATATATTTGGTGAGAGATACAGGGTGAGAATGGCAAGCTTCTCCTCCAATAGTGGAGATTCAAGGGTGGACAACGCCTTCAAAGTCAAGGCGAAAAGTCCAAGTTCATCACACTGGCATGTTCTTAGCATCGGAAAGATCATAGTGTGTGATGCTCTTACCTGGAGGTTGCTCGCATAGTCGTAGAGAGCGTGGTCTGACCGTGGCTCCTGCTATCTCACAATAAGGACGAGAAAGGAAGGAAGGGGAAATAGAAACGAAGTGCATATCTACCGGTGGCTCGATAAGAATCCCCGTTACGGCCATTGTCACCGACAAATTTGTCGTTAAAGCAAGGATAGGCTAACGGGTCGTCACCCGTTAGCATATCCTAAGCGTGGATAGGTGTGGAATCCCAGAGGCTATCTTCACAGAAACAACGAAACGGGTCAAGGATAACGACCAGCAAATCATTTGACAAAAGTAAGGACAGTGGGGGAGGAAAAATGAGTTGACTTTGTCGTGATGAAGGGGGAAGAGAGCAAGCGACTGCCGCTCGCGGGCAGCAACGGTTTTTAAAGGCGGCCATTTTCAGCACCTCAGAAAGGTGTATCCCTGTGCAAACATGGTGAAAATGTGAGCAAACAGTGATCAAGAAGGTGGACAAAAGCGTTACTGACTGCAACGAGTTTGTCGTAGATGGAACTGATCCCGCCACCAAACTTCCTGGCAACCTAGAATGACAGAACACGGCAAGATTGTAAGTAATTTGGTTCTGTGAAGGCATTCAGAACCATGATATCTGAGAAAGCACTGGATTTCCGTCTTCTGAGAAGAGCAGAGAAGATGGTTACATATACATGTACGGTACTGCGGTGCGCAGGATCCACACAGCCAAATGAATTAAGGTAGAACCAAAGCGAGATCGATTCAGAATGAACCCCAGACGTGGGACTTGGCTTGACCTGGTATGCTCAGCATGTGCTCAGCATGTGCTCAGCATGGCTAAGCAACAATTCAGGAGAAAGTGCGGAATGAAACTGAATGACATCATGTCTGAGTTTGCCCATATATTTTGACTACTTTTTGGGTTCCAGACCATAGGGCTTTGAGAGTTAAGCCAGGCACCTTCTTCATACAGATCAGCAAAGAAGGGAGCAGGCATGGAAGGTTCTAGAAGTGAATGGGAAGTATCCATTTATGATGGCTTAATATAGTTAGCATAAACTTCAACATAATAAAGCAAGGAGGGGGGAGTAAGTCAATTAAAAATTGACTCTGAGTTTTAGCTAGGTGGCAGTAATCTGTAACAGACTAAATAATGAGGCATCCTATTTAGATTTATGTGCTTGGTTAGATTTTAAATATAAGGATAGTGTTAATTATATATATCTGGCCTTGCTTCTGATAGTACTATCTCTATTTATTTTCTATGTTTTTTTTATAATTAGTCTTCTGTGTATTATAGGGAGATATTATGTTTATTGTTCTAGTGAATTATGATATTTTTAAGATTAATTTTATGCTAAGCAATAATTCTTCTTAGTTCTTACTTTTTGGACTTTAATTATAAGTAGATATTGCTTCTGCTTCTTGGTCATTGATTTCTATACTGTCTTGGATAGTGAGATCCTTTTCTTTGAGGTTGCTTATGGGACTTCTTGATTGTTCTTTTTTGATGGGAATTTATATAAACCAGTTATAAGGACTGTATTTGTTTAGGGTATAGGATGATATAACCCCCATCAAAGATTTTGCTTTATGTTTGATATTGTGCTGTCTGTTTGCTTATGGTTTTTGGTGATGATTAATGCATAATGATTGAGATAGATGGAGGTGGGTTCTAGATGCTTCTATAGTATCTGTACTGATTTTGTATTGCTTAACAGGGTGAGTACTCTGGCTTCAATTAGCAACTCCCATGCCATGTGGACTGTTTAGAATCACTCCCAACCAGTGATGCAACATCATCACTTTGTGGCTCTTCTCTGACCAGCGTCTTGAACCCTTCCCAGTCTCCTTCTAGAGCTCTGCGGTTATCCCAAAGCAAGATGATAGAAGCCACAGTAATGGACTGGGAAATGTGAAAATGAACAAGTGAGAGTGAGTGCAATTTTTTGTGTTAGTTATAATTGCTACTACAAGCTGTGTTATTAATAGTCTTCTATATTTGAGGCTATATTAGAAGTTCTTTTATTAAATAGTTTTTAAGGTTAATTATTAAATAGATACTAATAATATAAATAAAGTATTATATATAATTTATTAATACACTTGAGACTTTTTTTAGGTATAAAATCTATCTATTGGTGTATTTTTAATAGAAGTTTATTATAGATATATTACCTTGATTTGCTATTATAACTAAAACATCAATTATTATAATAATTTAGTTATTCTGTTTTATTAGCTGTACCTATAAATCTTAAGTTGGGTAAATAAGCACTATTTGCAATATTATCTCCACCAGACACTCGTTATGTACCATATGTTAAATTAGAAGTGATAATTTTTCAGTGCTTGCCAATTCAACTACATTCATCCGCTAGTGGTTCCAAGTGAGCTCTGGGTTGACAGTGCCTGCTGTGATACTTATGATCATCCAACGGCGATAGCCACCTCATACTCGCTAATATCAAAAAAAAAAAAAAAAGGGAAAAAAATGACGCAACACTAAAACTATGTCCATAACGAGTTTGTCGATGCTCTCAACTTTACGTTCAAGGCATAATCACGGCGAATCCTGATAAAAGCCTAGTCTTGAAGGCATGTTGTATAACCTTTCGTTGAGCTGAACAAGCTTCAACTGGCATTTGTCTTATCAGGCACACTGGTGGTAATTGGGAATGAAGACACATCAGCTCAACACAACAACAGTCTTACCCCAGACATACGGAAGAGCTGGGACATTTGGCTTCTCCGCATTCGCACCAAGACCTGACAACGAGACAAGACGAACACGACTGCAAGAAACAGCGACATACAGAGTAGGGCGCTCATGATGATGCATACTCCACTCTAGTAACCATTATATGTGTTCCATCAGTAAGGCAATGAGAGCTTGCAACATGGCAGAGAAGGACGACAAGCCTTGATCCGTTTCATTCGACGCTATCTTTCAAACTCATTTCTTGAGTTTCGTCTGACTCGCGAATGTTTTGTCTCGTCCAGTCTTACCCAAGGGTCATGGTATCTGTCGCATCTTGAGTTATTACACGCCGAATCCTCATACGCAAATATTGACCAACTCGCAGATCTAAACAAAAATGTCACATAGTCATGAACCATGCATATCGACCAATTAAACCGCGAAATACCGCAATTTTCAGCGCTTGCCACCTCATTATGGACTATCAATCCAACGCCTCGACAGCACCCATTTCCCGAATCAGCTAGGATTCGCAGTGTTTGTTTCACCTCGGTTCCTTACGTTCATTCGACCTCAAACCTAAGCTACAACCACGGGAACAGAGTGGCTGCACATGATGTGCTCATCATAAGAACAATGAGGCATTTAAGAGACGTACATGTTCTTCGCTAGCCATGGATTGTCTTCGCGATTTTGAATCCGTGGTATGTCTGTTTCTCACGTGAGAACATCGTGCTGCCGATCTAATAACAACTGCTTTTCCCCAACGGTGACTACAAATCTGATGTGTATACTTTCCAGATCAATAACAGCGACCCACCAGATGACTGACTTAGGTTTTATCCCGGCTCTCAAAATCAGCCTTGCGCACAGCCTTCCTGCAGTATCTTTCAAGCAACCCCGCTCGATGTACTAGTGTCCAGTGTGATGAATGACACTAAATACCCCCGCCCCTCCAAAAGCGATCAAGAATGTGAAAGATACACTGACAGAATATCTTGGAATTTTCATTCTTATATGACAAAGTGCTTAACTATCATGGCCCGTTTAGCCCTTTCGCCTAAGGACTACACCGTAGCATGGATCTGTGCGCTGTCGATTGAGTTAGCTGCAGCACAGAACATGTTAGAGCTACACTCTGGGTCGCGTAAACGACCATAATGTGGTGATTGCTAACTTGCCGTTGGGTACCTCCGGGACCACAGCGGCAACCACGGTGCTGGTACAAATGCGAGCCACGTTTCCGTTCCTGGAATATGGCCTACTGGTCGGAATTGGAGGTGGAGTACCTACGGATGTTGATATTCGGCTTGGGGATGTGGTGATCAGCACGCCAACTAAGAATGGAAGTGGTGTGATACAATATGATTTTGGGAAGAAAACTCACGCCGGGCTCCAGCCTACAGGAAACCTCAACAAACCATCCAAAATACTGTTGAAGGCAGCAAGCCAGTTGAACTGCTGATGATGCACAGCCCGCGCCAAACTTTGACACACGGTAGAAAAGCATGCACAGTCTAACATTCAAGTAAATTCAAGTAGACAGTTAAGATGTTGTTGTCAGAAGTTCTACCTACTATGTCGAATTCTTCTATAGAAATATTCTATGTCCATTCTTTCCACCGTATCAACAGTCTCCTCTCCCCCGTCAATATGTACTCTATGTCAAATATTCACACCAAAACCCTCCGAAATAATCCACGACCGAAAGTAATGATACCCGATTCTGTCGCAGAGAGGATCGTAATGTCTTTACATCTCCACCCCATGTTCACCCCATGCATTCTTTCACACAAGCGGACTCATCACTCAGAGTCATTCAACGTCTCCGTCACACGCCCATCATCACTCATCAACCTAATCGGCCTCCTAGGTTCATGAACCGTCACCGGAGTAGGCACAGCCGGCATCATCGGCTGCAGAGACAGTGTTTCATCTGCACTCGAATTAGCAGCAGCCGCGACTCCAGCGTCTTCGAGTTGCTGTTGCACCTGTTGATCTTCTCGCCGTTCTTCCTGTCGCTGCTGAGAGCCAGCGATCTGAAATGTGATCCGGGGAGGCTCCCGAGGACTCGGCGCTTTGCCTCGCTTTCGGTAAAATCGTAGGCCACGGTGTGACTCTGCTGTTGCTTTGCTGTGAGTATTCAGACTGCTGGGAAGCCGGATCGCTTCTTGATCTGCCGAAGCAGAGCTAAGTGCCGTGGAGATTGTGCGAGGTATATAATAACCTGCTTTGCCGAGGGGGACGCTGAGGCCATGCACGAACTGTTCACGTTAGTTTCGAAGTCGCTCAATTGATAGAAGTAGAGACTTACGATGCTGCAAATGACCAAGAACCAGACCACGATATATGTCACCTCCGCCGTCCTGGCGGCATCAGCCCGTACCTCTCCATCAACAATCATCTCCTCCAGCAGAAACTGACGGCAAACCGACAGATAGAAAATAGCACCGACACCAATAGGACCGAAGAATCCTACAAAGAGTGCTTGAGATACTTGCTCGATTTGATGGATGTATTTGTGCATTGCAAACACGGCCGGTAGACGACGAAATAACAGTATCAAAATGCCCAAGACAATCAATCGATAGATAGGGACGATATCATTGTGCGCGAATAGCACCCAGGGACAAACGGTTCCGAACCAGACGAAAATGGCCAAATTGAGTAGCATATCGATTGTTGGTTGGAGCGAGTCATCCATTGTTTCGAGTCGGAACCAATCACTATTTTGTTAGTATACCGTATGCTGGATCAGACGCGACAGGACTTACTCGTGGGTAAATGCGTTTCCGGCTATGAAACATGCAAGCAAATCGTCGGTGCCAATCAGACCACAGGTGCCCATGATGAATAGCTAGAACAGTAAGCAAGTAGAACCAGTCAAAGGGTATGATAGACTTACACCAAGCGAAATGGCAAAAACTAGAAAACTCTCCCTGTCAACATAACGCTTCTCTTCTGCCCAATGAAGTAGCTTCATGGACAACCACCCAACTGCAGCACCATACACGACACTCAACACAATCTCATAAAGTAGCGTCTCGTACACCCACAGGGCAATCGCCTTGCCGCCTCCACCACTAAATCCCGGACCCTGGGTATACTTCATGATATAAAGCGCCAAAAACAAAAACGGATACCCCAGTCCATCATTAGCACCAGACTCAGCAATGATGATACGCTGCAAAGGACGCGGAATATTTTTATCCGCAAACTTGCCCTTTACAATAGAATTGGACAACACAGGATCAGTCGGTGTAACGCATGCGCCAACCGCCAGGGCCTCGATGAACGACATATTAGGCACAAGACCCCAGATCAGTAAACCACTAGACAGCCACATAGCGGCCATCCCAGGACCGAGGAGTAGAGCCAGACTTTTCCATTCTGTCTGCAAGTACCGTCCCGGTAACTGGACACCGGCAATGACTAGCTGGACACCTAAAACGAGGCGGGTGAAGTACATTGTGATAGCGTCTAGGTTGGTCTGGAAGCCCATTGCATATTCCAACGGTCTGATGAAGTTGGTCGCATGGGGCGAGAACGCTACGCCTGCCAATGTAGCTATCACTATCGTCTTTGTTAGCCCCAAAAAAAAAAAACATGTCAGATCGCGGAGAGCGGAAAAGGACGTACAGGCTTCCGATAAATAAAATCGTTCTTTGAACAAATACGACACCAGCCCAAAGAGGGTTATAAACCCTCCTAGAACGGAGCAGACAATATTGAAATTGTTGATTTCGAGCGTCGGCATCTTGACGGCTGGTCGTAAAATTCTTCCTTCCTTTGATGAAACCTTTTGCAAATACGTAGTCGAACTAACCAATCCCAAAACTCTTCCAGATCGTCGACAAAATGATTCTTCCACAAAAAGAATCGATTTTCAGCAAACGTTATTTAATCATAATTTTGAGGATAGCGCAAGATAAGAATGATGGACGGAGTTGCTCGCCGAGCATTGAATATTGATGGGTTGCGACGTTGGAGTATGCCAGTTTGACAATGCGATGCTTGAACCTTTTGCGCTGGTTCTGTATGCTTGAGCAGGTGCTTTCTTGAGATTGATCTGTAATGAGTTGTAATCAGTCAAGATCAAGAGGCGGGGGAGGATTCTTTCTTTTTCTTTCGTCGTAGCATGGATAACGAGATTGCGTCATGTGATTGGCTGATTAGATAAATTCAAAGCTCGAGTGCTTCGTTGTAAGTGAGCCAAGAACTCCGATCATCCGAGTCCCTTCGTATTAAGCGGTCTGTACTCTGAATCTTTTGTTTTTCGTCTTGATTGATGACTGCATTCGTATGATACGTGGTGAGGAGTGCATGCCATGTGTGACTTTTGTTTATCGCCGCATGCAGGAATTATACATATGTCCGACGGCAAGGGAGACATCCACGTGGTATGCTGTATGATCTTATTGATCCATGCCATTAGTGCTCATGATGTTCACCTATCAACTAGAGCCCGCAATGACATTTACATTATTTATCATAAAGTAGATACGACTCGCTCGCGTCGTTATACATGTATGCTTCATCAAAAGTCATCATCAGCAAGTTCGTCAGGAATATCATCATCAGCTGCCCTGAGCCCAGGTGCAGCCGACGACACCTTTTCTCCAACTCCCCTTCTGGCACCGTTGACGGCTAACCGATCTGCTTATTCGTTCCCCGCGTCACGGTTTTGCCCCTTGACCCATTCGAAGGTGGTAGTCACTTTTAGTGAATCTCGTTCATTGATCTTCACCAGAATAGACTGAATAAGATCTTTGTTTTCAACGGGCTTTCCATCTGATGTTTGCCAGTTGTTGCGAATCCATTTGCGGAACCAGTTAGGAACGCAGTCAATGGAGTACTGACTATCTGTCACAATCGTCACAGGACGATGCCGGGGTGCTATTTCAAGCGCTCTAATGATTGCTGTCAACTCGGCACGTTGATTTGTCTGGCGGTGGCCTTTCAATGGCTCGGAAACGTTTCTGCTAACAACGGAATTGCTATTTAGTAAAAGGCTCCAGATTCAAGACACCACGTCGGACCTTGGAAGCCTACCTTGTATCATTGGGTCCGAAATAAACCCCAATACCAGCTTGTGCAATTTTTTTTACCATTGCCAAGCGAACTGCCATCGGTATATATTCGAAGCATTCCAGGGGGTCCTGTGGGCTTTGCCTTGGTTGCTAGTTTCTGCTCTGGTTCCTTGTACACTACTTTGCCGGTTTTGAAATCGAAAGGGGTTGATTGCAAAGCCGCGGCCATAACCGTGTCGCCTCCTTTATGAGAATAGCATATTATCGTAATCGCATCGACAAAGGATCTTTTGATCGAGTGTGTCATCGGTAGTGTAGATAGAGCTGGTAAAGCGGCAGCCACGGACTGGATCGAGAACACTGAGAAGAACTAGGGATTCGTAAAATCGACGTTCGAGACGTTGATATCGATGTAAAACTTTTTCGGCCGTGAGCGTAGAGTGGCTGTTCGGAGTTGACGGTCTGATTGCCTTTGATGGGGAACAAGGAACAATTGCGGCCAAACTTGAGTTTCCAATTTCATTCTTAGCCTGTGCCTGGATTATCGATCGACATGGTTTCTTTCGTTTTGGCATATTTGGTATTTCTCATCTCTTCAGTGGTATTTGGTGGCATTTGGAAGTTCCAACAAGAGCTATAGCCTCTCGAAATCATCCACGTGCAAGACGGTCAGATGCGCAACGTCGCGTTCAAAAGCTCAATAGTCGGTTGTGGAGAAAGTGATTATCCGTTGATCAACACCTTTAGTGGGTAAAACGGAAAAATCATATACCCCGCTCACTAACTATCTAATTCAGATACTTTCCCACAGATGATGATCCTCTGCTAAGAGTATGTGTTGCCGCCTTGTTTCTTGGTTATGGTTGTACCACTATTGGCCTTCTTTGATTTTTAGGACGTTTTGATTAGTCCTTACTCGATTGCCTGTTAGAGTGGGGCGGTGGCGCTATTGTACGACACCGAATAAGGATGGCGGGACTTTCTGCAACTGATTGGTCGACACCGCTTGTGTGTCCGGTGCAATAACTGAACATCTGGCCCATTCTAAATCGCCATTCTTCTTTTGTTGGTGTGTCACATTCTCGATCCAGCACCGAGATTCACGAAGCAATACGGTAATGTCGACAACGACAGGCAAGCGGCAATGTCTGCCCTGTAATGAAACTGCCGCCAGCAGAAGCTTACTGACCGTGTGCCACTCGCCGCAGAAAGAGTAACCCTTGTTAGGATAACCGACGCTCACGCCGACGCAGCTATATGCGGATACAACCTCGAAAATGATGTTGAAGGTGGAAAATGCCTGAGGATGCAGTTTGTAGTGATCGGCCTCTACAGCCGTCATGATAAAAACCACTAGACCAAGCCACCAGAGATCGTGGCCCAGTTGAGAGCGAATTTGTTGGTATAAGAAGCGGCAGCGATCAAGTCTTGAGGGATTTGTAAGGTCTGTTGGGTACTGTATAACCGATTCTTCACCTTGATGATCCAATTCCGGGGATTGGGTTTGGCCCATGCCTGCATTACTAATAGAGGGTCAGACAGGAGTTATAAAAGGGTAAGTGAGAGTAAACACCAGATGGCTGCTGACACTGGGAAAGTAGAAATGTACTGGAAAGCGCTTATTAGCTATCTGTGTTCCAATGTGAAAGAGCCTGAAATCTCACCATCACTAGGACTAGATAAATTCCTATCAGTCAACTACGCGAGTGACGTTCCAGGTGCATACGTACGGTACAGGACAAGTATCCCTTGGGGCAACGTATCGAAAGCCACGACACAGAATCCACCACCTCGTACGGCTTCACTGTTGAATTAGATTTACTTCAATGAGATTGCCCGGGGTAAAACAAACATAATGCCTGAAAGAGCCCGTCCAATATTCGATCCCCAATTGGGAGCGCCTCTATTTCGGCATTCGCTGTCAAGGACAACAGCTCGAAGGCAACCCACAAGATACTGTTAAGGGCTAAAATCACCCCGAACAACAACCACGTATGCCAAGTCGGGAATAAATACCTATATACCTATAAAATCTTATTTGTTTCAGCTTTCAAACAACAAATTCGAGGTAGATTTACGCTTTGGGAATAGACAAGCGTAAAATCGAGCGCCTGTCGCCACAACCCCCATATCCCTTTGTTCGGCAGCACCTTCCTCATAGCCCAGATTGTAAACCGTAATAGACAGGGGTAAAGTGTATTTCCAACAAGAATGATAACACAGAGGATAAGGAGCAGGGAAGGCCTTTCATCAGTGGTCAGCAAGAAATTTTTTCGATGGAAACTTGCATGTATTGTCTCACTCACTCTCGTTGAAATGGAACCATATTGGTATCATTTAGAGACATGCCACAGTTCGCAAATGCGGATGTCGCGAGAAAAGCGCCAGCCCAGAAAGCGGAGATTCCCTCTTCACGTGTAACATCTGGGCGATTCGATTCCAACCAATATCCGACGCTCACGATACTAAGGGAAAGGAATATGGTGAAATAGAGTATAACCAAGAAAGACAAAAATGCAATTGCCCTGCATTGTACCACGTGTGGCTGACGACAATCGACTAAGCTTCTTGACTGAAGGTACTTCTGGGTAAATTGCACAAAGTTCTTCAATCTAATCACAAACCTGGAAGAATATACTATCGTGTTGCAAGGATCCCTTGCAACCGTCATGGAAACGGTTCCCTCATTATCCCCAAGATCTGGCCTCGAAGCAGAGGATATCAAGTCACGATCTAACCATGAATGAGGATCGCTTTGGGCAGAGTGTCCCACTAGGACTTCTTTCACCTCATCTGTATTTTTAGGGGTGAAATTGTTGCAAACATGCCTGTTCGCATCATCGGTAGAAATAGCATCAAACTTTCTCTCAGACGGCTGCTCGATCTGTACCTCTAGGGTTGATGTGCTATACGTGCACTGCTCTCCCACACCACCCGTTGCGTTGTGAAGAGCAGAACAAATCATCCGTCTGCAAAACATAAGGACAACACCGGAGATAGGAATAGCATGTCCCAAAAGTAGAAGCACAAAAAGCGTGCCTTGTTGGAATATGTTTAGGGTAGATAGATCCAGCTTAGAATACGTCAGTGTTGGCTATATACCATAATTGTCAATGGCTAAGCTGTACCACATTTAACCCAGTTCCAGTCATGGCACTGATGCTCATGAACAATGCGTCGGCATAGCGTATACGGTCGATCTGCGTCGATGTTGTATATAATATGATACTGCTCATCGCGCATGTGAGAATAAAGTAGGCATAATGAATGGTAAGGAAGTTTATTTTCAAAAGACCAGTCATGATTGGCAAACTCAGAGGTCGTCGTTAGCATACTTCTAGATGGTGAAGGTTGGATTACCCAATCGCTATAAAGGCTCTGGAATACTGGATAAGAAGAGTAAAATATCTCGTGGGTGTAGTGAAGCTTCGCCAAAGATACCTAGTTTTCCGACCTACGAAGAATGAAGGTATGGAATGTTCCCGCCTTGATCGTATTCTCATATCTTCGATTGAGTCGCACAATACGACCCCTTGTCTTGTTCGTGGTCAATCCATGCAGAACGAGTGGAATATTCATGCCGAGCTTAGTGTAAAAACAGGGCAGTGAACGCCACCCATGCAAGGTTCGGATATGTGGACTCCGGCTCCGAAGATATCTAATTAATCAGTCGCTAGATTGCAACATTACCAAAGATGCATACTGCTGATGTAGAATGTCCAGGTTAAATCTACAATTACATGGTCTTTCGAAGAGTGGATCATTGTACACATTACTTAACAACACGGGAGGAATTTTTTGGAAAAAATGCTACGCTGCAAGTGTAACAGCGAGACACAGTCCCTGGGGCTCGTCGACACTGGATCCAAGCTAGGTTGAATTGTACGTAGCCTTTTCCAGCTCGATTCTGCATAGATAAATCAAATTTTTGGACGCAGTCGAAGGCAATTTTGTTAGAAATCCCACCATTTAACTACTAACACTGACCAATCAATTATTTTCAAGATTATTGTAAATTCTATTTTCCCATATAAACCTCCCTTGGAAAAACAATCATCAGATCCATGACCCATCTGGATACAGGAATACATTCAATAATAGTACGAAATTTACGTGCTAAAGACCTCATGAAGCATATTCGGGCGAGGCCCTCATGATCACCTACCTCATCGAAGCTAACGGCGCCTACGTACCTACATTAATGTGCAACTAGATTCCCTAGCTTCCTCCCTTCACTGATATAATACTATATACGCCCAAAGAACATGTTGTTTTCTTTTCTCCTTTCTTCCCATGTTATGTTTTCTATTCGAATATGCACTTGTAGTGAGCATTAGGCGGGACTAGCCTGTAACAAGAAACTGGTTGGCGATGATACCGAAGATGAGGACGCCATGAGTCCGGAAGAAAGATTGGGTAGAAACGGTGTGGAAGAACAGTCTACGTCGAAATGTAAGACATGATACTTGAAAAGTGACTGCCAAGAGTCAACAATTCAGGTTAAAACTGCTTTCTAGTACGTATTGCTTGCCAAAAAGTTTTCTCCCTTTACTACAGGTATGTATGTTGTCACCGGTAGTACGCTCCTTCTACCACTGTTTTCATACTAATCCACTTCGCGTATCTTATAGAGTAGACGAAAATATATATTTAGGTGGTTGAACCTAAAATTCGGCTGATCCACCTAGTTTAGTTCCTCTCCATATAAATTTAGGTTTTATCCCCTCTGCAGCTTTAATTTTGCTCCATTTGTTTGACTGGAACCAATCTCGGCTTTATCTCCCTAGGTTGTCAAATATGTCCTCATCGGCAACGTACGGCGAATCTGACTTTTAGCTGCATCAAATGAGCCGTCGTTCTCAGTAATATGGTCGCTGGGCAGCATGATGGCACGATCTAGCGCATATGGTAACCCGCGGTGCCGACCGCGAATCATCATAAGGCACATAACAACCTTACTGAAGGTGGTGAATTGCCCGCTGAGAGAGGTATTCACTGTAGGATACCCAAGAGAGAGGCCGACATTGCAACTACTATGTGTTATCACTCAAACCGTCTTCCCGAAAAATGAAGGTATTTAAGAGACACATACTACCCTGATACGACTTCGAAAAACACCGAAAAAACAGAAAAGGCCTTCATAAAAGACGCAGTCAGTTAAAAATGCTCCAAAAAAGCCGTCCCGAAAAGAAGGGAAAGAGAAGGGGAAGTGCGTTACTCACGGGATCGTTATTATCCATGATTTGATTAGCTTCGGCAATGCAGATACAAAAGGTACCAAGAAATATGTACCACAAATCAAAGGAGAGCTGGTTGCGGATATGTGTCATAACGTATGAAGAGCCACTTGATTCATCCAAGCCTTTCTCATGTGGATAAATGCCTAGTGCTTTCTCCTCATACGCGTTTGAGGAGCGAATGCTGATCGCAATTGGCAGGATGGAGATATACATCATAACCACCAAGCTAAACTGTACCGCAGGATTAACTTCCGCAAGATTAAATGTCGATGTCCCAGTATGTCGTGAGGATGCAGCTTGAAAGATGGCCGAAAGGATACGTGGACCGAGAGAAAGATTATTAACAGCCGGATTATGGAGATCAAGCACAATGATAAGTAATACGTCGACAAAGTTAAGCGTAAATATGATGCCAAACAAGATCCAGGTAGGTCGAGCCGGAAAAAGCAGTGTATAACAACGGCGTGGGTGGTCGAGTATGAACTGCAGTGTCTCCTTATTTACGGAGTCTTTCGGCACAATATTCCTCATAGTCCAAATGACAAGTCGCAGAATGACGGGGTAGAGAGTATTTCCTGCAAATGCTAAGAAGGACATGACCAACAATGGCCAGGTTGCATCGTTGAAATGGACCATTGAGTCTGGCGTCAATGTAAAACCTAGATTGTCCACCATTGTTTGCGCGGAATAGAAAGCCCTAGGATCAGATAATTAATAACTGTATTATACATATGGATTTTGAACCTACCACCACGTTTTGTCCTGTCCGCATTCTTGGAGATAATCTGTATACTTGGCCGGAGCCCTATGGATCCAAGGGACTAGACAAATGGCGCCAAAGATATGTAAGCCAAAAAAATAGCCTGTTGGTGACATCAGTCTAATCACAATGTCCACAATATGTAATTTTACATACCGAAAACTATCTTGAGCAGAAGTTTTAAGCTACGGTACTCGATACCGCCCAGTCGGTCGCGATCTTCGGTTGTGAGGTTATAAAAGCGGGAATTGCGCCCGACAGTGACTCCCTTGGATAACCCAGGCAGATCTGAGGTGGGTAGCCGTTTTAGAGGGCGGTGCGGAATGGCTGAATTTTCAGACACTCCACCCAATGCGAAGAAGGACGAAGCCACCTGCTCGATAGATTTTGCTGTTGACAAACTAGGGACATCTAGTTGGTAGGGTCGTCGACGAGTGATATGGCTGGATCCCGATGCAGACAATATGCGTTTGATGGTACTCTCATCTAATTAAAACTTAGCATTGAATTGATAGCATGATACCTACGGGGTTGCAGGCTAGGAAATACCGTCATCGCTAACTATATCTCTCTCTTCAATTGGTTGACCTACAGGGCCTTGTCAGCGAAATTTTCTGAATGTGTAGGAATATTTATTATACCTTGATCACGTTCCCTCGGACCTGGAACGTACAGGACCTTGGAGTCACTGTGAGGTCTTGAATCGTCTGCGAAGGCGATATGAGTATTATGCACAATGCCTTGAGGATTCACTATCGAGCTCTGTTGAGTTGTCGCAAGTGAGCTTCCAGAAATATCTTGCTGATGGGACGGCTGGTCGTCCGTTTTGCCGGTTGAATCCTCTCCTCTCTCCACATCGCGGGATCTATTCTGAGCACGCGACTTCCAGGCCGAGGATGCTAGAAAAACTCATGAGCTTATATGAAATAGAAAGATCCAGCTATGCTTCACATTTCTGACCTGTTTCCTTCAACCGTGTCTCAAACCAGTACAGGCGGACCGCGACGACAACCATGTTGATGAAACCGAGGTTGGTGAAGATTGGTATGAAATAAAGGTAGAGCTGCTGATACGTTTCCAAGGCCATAACATCGACCCTGTGCATTGCATTGATCGTTTAGCCAATGGATCTTCTATGAAAGTCTTCTAAGAGGAAAAAACAAGCAGGACAAAGGGTAGAAAATGGTGTTGTCGTGGGAAGGACGTACGTATTCAGGCCCGATTCAGTTGATGCACTTGCACCGAAGAAGTAGGCATCTATTGCCGCCACGTTGCCGAAAGGATAGATAATGATGAGCCCGAGAATGCCCATCAGTATAATCCACGCATCTGCAAGGAAACCGATGTGTATCAGAAAATATTTCTTGTCAAGATGTGCAAGTCAGCAGCTGTATCTTACAGTGCAAAGTGACAAAATTAATAGGTGGTTGCCACATGATCGAAACAATTCCTCGACGATCTTCTTGAACGTGAGCTTGAGAAAGAGATTATGAACGAAATGAGAAAGAAATTTATTTTTAATTTAATTCCCCTTTGGTATTTTCTTTTATTTTTGGGCTTCGGTTGTCACGTGGTACCGTAGTGAAAACGTGCAGATACATTCTTGCGTGCGGGATTTATCAGGTCCTATACTTTATGAGTTGGGGCCATTTGAGCGAAACTGAATGACCATGTGGGTGGCTTGACAACGAGGCTCATTGATGACCCCACACCCCCACCTTCTCTATCCATGAACAGCATCACGGAATCAGTGTGATTCCTGTTGTGCTGTCGAATACACAGACAACAGTCTCGATTTTTGACTTACCTCTGTTCCGCCCCTTTTTGATGGCCATGCAATATCAGTTCCCTGACGATCACGAACCTCTTCTCTCATCCAACACCACTCTACTTTCTAGCGGAGAACCCCGAGTAATCGAGGAACGTACTAAGAAGAAAGGCAACGTACCTCTGCGAGCATTCCAGTTACTCGAAGATGGAACGCATGTGCACAATCTGAGAAATATATCGCACGAAAGGTCCAGCTTAACGATCTTCAAGTTAATCCGGTCGTGGAAAATCATGCGTACGGCGTCTTTCCAGTACACGTTGCAGACTATGTCGTTAGAGGTTATCGATCAGCTGAGAAATGAGATCAGAGCAGTGCTCAAGAATGGTGATATAGCTGAACACGATGCCTCATTGATTAAAAACTACGGCTCATGCAAGGAAATATTAAATTGTGACGTGGCCAGCACAGTTCGAGTTGCACATAAAAAGATCCAAAATGATGATACGAGGATTGAAAAGTTATTCGCAGTCAAGATATTTCGTCGCCGCCACCGAGAACCCGTAAAGAAATACCGAGACCGCGTTGCGTCGGAATATTGTATTGCGCGTTCCTTGAGCCACCCACATGTTGTTCAAACTCTGGACCTGCTACAAGACACCCGTCGAAATCTCTGCCAGGTCATGGAATACTGTGCGGGAGACCTCTTCGCTCTTATCCGGACGGTGAAACGGCTTGAGGCTGTAGAGTCTGACTGCTATTTCAAACAACTAGTTCTTGGAATACAATATATTCATGATATGGGAGTATCACATCGAAACCTCAAGCCAGAAAATCTCCTCCTCACTTTCCAAGGCGCATTGAAAATTGCTGACTTTGGATGTGCTGATTGTTTCAGGTTACCGTGGGAAAGAAAATCCCATAATCTGTACAGTTTGCAAGGTACTGTTCCCTACATTGCACCAGAACAATTCGTCCTCAAGATGTTCGATCCCAGGGCTATTGATATTTGGCCTTTAGGAATAATTTATGTCGCCATGAGGACTGGAAGGTGGCTATGGAGGAGTGCCACAGAAGATGATGAGCATTATCAAGAATATCTTCAATATCACAAAGCCGAGAAATACTTCCAGTTAGAGAGGATCAATGGGGTACGTCCTCTATTCTCACTGTGCAACAATAACAGGATTATGCTAATTTTGAATATGTGAAGGCATATCGCCGTACTGTTCTATATGCAATCCTGGATCCTGATCCGAAGACTCGTGTTACGATCTCTGATATCCTCCGGTCGACCTGGATTACCGGTAAAGATATTAAAGTTTGCGACGCAGGTAAAAAAGGATTATAGCTATGGCATCCTTCCTTGGGGAATGACCACCAGAGCAGCACTCACATTTCTATCCGCTTGTCTCGATCTTATTTGCGAAGACTTCCATCCTGCCACCGAAATCAAGTGTCACGGTGGCAGATTCTCCCAGCATTTACCGGGTAGCTTTGTGATTTTACATTCCTCTAAAACCTATAAAGGCGCTAGTCGGTAATCGGCAAAGTGAAAAGGTTTCAAGGGATATCTCCATTTCATCTCGTTCGCCTATTTTGATTACAGACAATTTTATTCTTATCTTCTTCAAAATGGTTATTTGGATTGGCCATACGCAGGGTCCGTGTAAGTACCCGAAGTTGGTTCACTGGCAGCATTCCCGGCTGATTGGCTGTAAAAATCCCTCATGTTATTTTCTGCTTATAATCGTGCTAAGCCGCCCCAACACCCTCCAATATAATCCCAAACTATCGCTTACCCTGATGTCAATGTGGGATTTCCGTCTCTCTTTATGATGTTGTTAGTTCTAGAATTCAGAGATGCTAATCGACGGTGAGAAATGGGCTTGTGAAGCTTGCGTCCGAGGACATCGTGCATCACAGTGTCGACATCATGGTCTGACTACCAATTTGGAAGAGGCTGCGTACTGGTTCTAACTGTTTCCAGATCGGCCTTTGAATCGTGTCAATAAAAGAGGAAGGCCGCTCCATATCTGTAATATCTGTCATGGGCCTTGTGAGAAGAGACAAGAGCATAGCAAGCTCAGGGGTCGCGACAAGAAATCCGATGGTAAAAGCCATAACGAAACTTCGATAAAAGTATGGAGAAACAGCGACGAGGCGGTATTTGAGTAATGGCAGTTGCACAAGCTAATCCGCGATATAGGGAACAACCCCCGGACGTCAACTTCGACCTCTTTCATTTCCACGTATCGCACCTCGTCCTCCTTTACCCTCGCTGCGAATTGAGAGGCAATATCCTCCCAATTCGACCTTACCGAGCACTAGGCGACATTCATCTCCCCACCCTCCAACTTCATCCGGTTCCGGCTGCGTTATGCTACCAACTGCTAAGCAGACACCAATCACGCGTCGTTATTTAGGCGATATGACCGCTATGCAGAAACTGAGACAAAGGAAAGACCTCTTGAAGAAGGCCGAAGAGCTTTGAAGGGCATGTAATGCAGATGTCTACTTGATCAGCCGAGACCAGCACACACCTGTCAACACAGGTCGCAAATTGATGTAAATCGAATCGGTGTCTTGCAAGCTTCTCCACATAGATGATCCTTCGAACAGTGGATCAAAGTAGATAAGAGCAGTCTATGCGCCATGATCCAGTCATCAAAAAGAATACATTAGCAGCATCTGGGAAGAGAGTTACGGGGAAGTATATGTTCAAGGCTGTCTAACCCTGCACGGGTAGCACCTATACATGGAGTATGATAGTGTGATTGCATCGGCAGCTCATCGTGCAAGCTCGGCGCATAGAGAGATTTGGATTCCTCTAAGGACCAAACCGGAGTCAGAGGTTTGTCCAGATGCTTGGAAGAAGATGTCTCTTGCTTGATCAATTGCCAAAATAACAGAATTGCGGCAACAAATGATATATTATTTATTTATTTTTTTATTTTGACGCGCTGCCAATACATTCATCTGGGTTTCCGACGAGAGCTGCTTGTCTCTGTTCTATAATACGTGACAATATCCCTTCCCATCCCAGCGAATCATGTAAGCCGTCCTTCGACGCCAGATCGGGATGAAAGTAGCGGGCGACTGCAAGCTTTCTTCCCAGGCGGGATGACAAGTTGTCCATATGTCCATTTCTCACAGTCTTAAGAGTTCTCAGACGAATCCACAGTAACGGTGTTCATATTTACAATGAAGCACTCATTTACATCTTCCGCGTCCTAACCACCTTAGCTGTCAAATTTTTTTGGTGCATAGTTTGATCAAAGTATCACAAAGAACAAGCTGCCTGCTGGGTCTCAGGGTGATAGCTGGGAAACCCCAAAAGACAAGTACACTACCGCAGAACAACTAGGGGCTCCCGATATATGATGCTTTTTCAGATTAAGGCGACGAGATGCCGCCCATATTAATACGTAGTCTCGCAATCGGTAAGCCGGTGGTGATGGGCCTCTATCGCTCCTATGCCCATTCCATATTCGATTTATTTGTACCTTCTTTAGGTACTCCCGGGTATAAACTTTCCAAAGCAAGGACAACAGTCGATACTTCGAGTACGACCAGCCGGCTCAACCCATGTTGTACATATACAAAGCCAGATGCTAACCGAAATGAAACAAGCCATGACAAGGCGGTAAGTAGGGCAAAGAAACTTCAAGGCATGATGGGTATCAAAATCTCGCCGTCGGCTAATGGACCGCACCATCCGTAGTTATCGCATCGACATTGTTCAAGACGAGGGCAGCTAATTGCTTCTTTTAGTACCATAGAAATTGTAGATCGAGGCTAGATACTTACTCAATTGGCTCCCGTCCAAACAATACGTGCCAGATCTTCTCAATCGTCCAACCGATACCATAACTATCGGTAAAATCTGTCGTCGCCGCCCACGTCAAGATAATTCATCCGGAGGGACATCACTCCAGGGTCCAGCTTCCACATCTGAGGTCTCTGAGTTTAAAAGATCCAACCACTTTCCTGCCTCTTTTGTTTCGTTCAACATCTCTTACTTCGAAAAAGTATCCATTACAACTGACTTTGGTTATGGGTGCAGCAAATTACTGGCGCTTCTGAATTTGGAAGAGGGTACCACTGCAGAGCTGTCCAATCATGATGATTCTCTCGTTCCTTTCGCAAGCCAGATCTCAGACTCTTGAGTGGCCGGTGGACTACAACATTTGGAGTGATTGGATTTAGTGGCAACTATAGCGATGGATCTGGTTCAATGTGCTGATCAGATGTGTCATGTTCTGTCTGAGCTAGTCATTCATCCTTACCATATTTGCAGCCGCTTGAGGAATATCAATGAAAACTCCTCGGTCAAACCATAGTGCAGCTTCCCTCACTTTGATACCAACGGTCGTCAGCATTGACCACAAAATTATCGCCTAAACAAGCTGAGTGTTTGCGTCGCCCCACCGTTTTGGCATTGGAGTGTGGTTCTTGGTTCACTTCAAGTGTAGCTAAAGTTCTGCTATTGGATACAGCACACTTCTTCCAGGCCAATCTTGTGCAATATTTGCGTCGAAGGTTGAACAGGCAGCCGAGTCATCTAGTATTCCATTAGAGAGGACCCACCCCACATTGAGTGTGAGTTCACACTTGCGAGCTCTTGTGTAACTTATACTTGGTGAAAATTACTGAAACATCATAATTTTACTATACACCAAGAGAACATGATTGATGACGAGAACCAACTCATGGTGGACCTTATCCGTCGTCCCGAGACATTCCTTTTCTTCCTAACAAGGAGCAGCGACAAATAGGACAAGACCAATTTCCGCGAGATAGCCATGATTCTAGGCATGAATGATGAAGCGCATTTTTGCATTTACGGTGAACCAATACAGAAGTATCACTTATTTCAGCATTTTCCAAATCTCCAATCATGGGTCCATGTAACTGTGCACGCTGTGGTTGACGCAGGTTGACAGGAGACTGTAGCGGCGAATAACATATTATGCTGTCAGGTGAGAAGGTTAATGTTTTGCCAGTTAAATTAATGTTCTTATCTTGACCAAAAATGGAGATGAGAAAATGAAATAACATTGAATACGAAAGGAGATTCACCATATTTCACGGCGTGAGACTGTTCGACCTTCTCGTCTTGCCTCTTTAAGCCACTGGTCAAATTGCTGAAATCGTAAATTGTGTCTGAAAGCAGGATGAAGGTCGCCATCTGGTACATTCTGGATGTACGAGCGGAGACGACGCTGTCTCCTCCGGTCTCGCAAAGCGATGTATCTGTCACATATATCATTATACCGCCAAACATGCACACAAGTCTAAATCAGACATTAGAAGAAAGTGATCGGAATAGCATCACATACATGGGAAGAAACACTATAGCGGACAAGATAAGTACTGCCGCTGAAATTGCAGCAGCATGCGATCCAGTCAAAGCCATCCCGTGTTATCCCGAAAAGTATCCAGCATCCCCCATTATGGTGAGAAAACAACTTCCTAGTCCGAGGTTCTGTGGACAGAATCTACCTTTTTATCAATCCCCAGTTGTTTGCCTAGAATTGACATAGCACTCTTCCCACAGTCTTAAACAACTCCCATTGGATTACCAGTTCTTGGTACCCTTGGCATTTGTCGTTTGCAACTGAACTCACACGTGAAAGACACATCGATCCAGTGATTGATTTCGTCCAACTACGAATGGCAGAGTTCTGCCAGTCTACGCGCGGCGGAGCACTTGCCAAGGGACTTGGCAATATCCGCCGCCTCCTCTGTAGTCGATGACGTATTCGGATTTCTGGTTCTAGTGGCGGAAGATAGCAACGAACTGTTTTAACCCAATTTCTCCTCCATTGGGCCATACGAGCATTATAGACCTCTTGGCCTTTCTTTTTCTTCCTACTTGGCGTTACGTATTTCTTCCCCAAAATTCGGCTGGACCCTTTGTTTTGAGTTTCACGCTCAGGCATTCGGAAGGATAACAAACTCTTGGCGTCAGGTTCGATCTACTTAAATCGAGAATTCCGTCTGAAATCCTTATTTTCTAGTTTTTATGTGTGTAGTGAACATTTGTCTTTCAACACATTTTCAGTCAAATCATGGCCAACAAAGAATTTCTGAAATCCGACCTTGACTCAAGCGGTGTCCAGTTGTCTGCGCCTGCTCACAGCCTTTCAATCGAAGAAGTGCTTCGGCAGCTCTGTACCAGGAAGGAGGATGGATTGACCGCGGGTGAAGCAGACAAGCGCCTTCAAACCTACGGGCCCAACAAATTGGACGAAGGCGAAGGCGTATCGATTGCCAAGATTCTCTTGCGTCAGATAGCTAACGCAATGATGCTAGTTAAGCTGCCCATTTTTGTGACACCAAAAGCATATTTTTAAAATGAGATGACTTGATCTGATCCAAAAATTTTGAACGTACAGGTATTGATATTGGCCATGGCAGTCAGTTTTGGCATTCAATCTTGGATAGAAGGCGGAGTGATCGCGGCTGTTGTCGGGCTCAATATCGTCGTCGGTTTCGTCCAAGAATATGCTGCAGAGAAAACTATGGAGTCTTTGCATTCATTGACTTCGCCCACTGGTACTGTGTCGAGAGATGGGCAGACAAAGGTCGTCCCAACTGCCGACATCGTTCCAGGGGATATGGTGGAGTTAAAAACCGGTAATACGGTGCCGGCAGACCTGAGGTGAGCTACCTTTTGTCTCCTGTTGATATATTATGCTAACATAGGGCTTTTGCTTCTCAGACTAGTTGAAGCAGTGAATTTCGAAACCGACGAAATGCTGTTAACTGGAGAGTCTCTTCCTGTTCACAAGATAGCCGAAACTACTTTCAAGGAAGACATTGGCCCCGGTGATCGTTTGAACATTGCCTACAGTTCCAGCACAGTGACAAAGGGCCGGGCACGTGGCACCGTTATCGCGACAGGTATGAATACAGAAGTTGGACAAATCGCTGCTGCGCTACAGGCGAGCAGGTCGAAGCGCCGACCGGTTAAACGTACCGAGCAAGGAACGACAAAAAAGCGTTGGTATCTTCAGGCTTGGGCATTAACTGCAACGGATGCTATCGGTCGCTTCCTGGGAGTCAACGTTGGTACTTTACTGCAGAGAAAGCTCTCGAAATTAGCCATCATTCTCTTCGGCGTGGCAGTTGTGTTCGCCATTGTTGTAATGAGTGCAAATCTCTGGAGCAACAACAGAGAGGTTATCCTCTATGCAGTTGCCACCGGTTTAAGCATGATTCCAGCCTGTCTGGTGGTGGTATTGACTATAACCATGGCTGTAGGAACGAAACGAATGGCTCAGCGTCATGTTATCGTCCGTAAACTTGATTCACTTGAAGCCCTAGGAGCCGTAACCAATATATGCTCCGACAAGACTGGCACCTTGACTCAGGGCAAGATGGTAGTGAAGAGGGCATGGATTCCAAGCAAGGGGACTTATTCAATTAGTCCTTCATCCGAACCCTTCAACCCAGCACTGGGCGATATCTTCTTTGTTGATAAAGCCCCGATTGAACTGTCCATCGAGGAAGCTGAGAGTGGGGATCCAGCCACATATACCGATCTCTTATCGAACAATGAATGTTTAGAAGAATTCCTCAATGTTGCTTCCATGGCGAATTTGGCCCATGTTTACCTAGCCGAATCCGGACAGACCGAATGGCACGCACGGGGCGAACCCACTGAGATCGCCATTCAAGTGTTCGCCTCTCGTTTTGATTGGAACCGCGACCGATGGACAACCGGTCCTGATGCACTATGGCACCACAAGTCTGAGTTTCCCTTCGATTCCGATGTCAAACTGATGTCGGTTGTCTTCGAAAAGTTCGCTGAAAGGGGAAAAAATCTCTCCGTCTTTACCAAAGGCGCTGTAGAACGTGTTCTTGACGCATGTACTACGGTCATCTGGGAGAATGGCACGGAGCCAGTATCACTGACGGAAGCTCACCGTCAGTTCATTCTTCAAAATATGGAATCACTTGCTCAACTTGGATTGAGGGTTCTTGCCTTTGGTAGTAAATTTTTTGCCCCCGAGACTGAATCATTCGATGACATAGAGCCCAGTCGAAGTGAAGTCGAGAAAGATTTATGCTTTTTAGGTTTAGTCGGTATCTACGATCCTCCTCGGCCAGAGACCAAAATGTCTATTGAGACCTGCCACAAAGCTGGCATTTCAGTGCATATGGTGACAGGAGACCATGTTGGAACCGCCAAGGCCATCGCTCAGCAGGTTGGAATATTACCCGCTGACCTCGGTTGTGTCGCAAAAGATGTTGCCGACGCAATGGTGATGACTGCCAGCGACTTCGACCGACTGACTGAGGATGAGATTGACGCCTTGCCCACGCTGCCTCTAGTGATTGCTCGGTGTGCTCCACGGACCAAAGTTCGAATGATTAATGCACTTCACCGTCGTGGCCACTTCGTAGCAATGACAGGAGATGGGGTGAATGATTCTCCATCGTTGAAACACGCAGACGTTGGCATTGCTATGGGCCAGAACGGGTCTGATGTTGCCAAGGATGCATCGGATATTATCCTGACAGACGACAACTTTGCATCCATTCTCAACGCTATTGAAGAAGGACGACGCATCTTTGACAATATTCAAAAATTTGTCCTTCATCTATTGTCAGAGAATATAGCTCAGGCATGTACTCTCTTGATTGGTCTTGCTTTTAAGGATCAAGATAGCCAATCAGTATTTCCGTTGGCACCGGTCGAGATCTTGTGGATTATCATGATCACTTCTGGTATGCCTGATATGGGTCTTGGAATGGAGGTTGCTACTGCCAATATCATGAATCGCCCACCACAGAGTGTAAGTTTTCACTTCCTCCCTTACGATGTATATCTGTAACTTAGCATTCTTAGAAACAAGGTATCTTCACATGGGAAGTCATCATCGACATTGGTGTCTATGGTTTGTGGATGGCTTGTCTTTGCCTCGCTGCCTTCTCCTTGGTGATGTGGGGATTTGGTGATGGAAACCTTGGCCATGGCTGCAATAGATCGTACAGCGCTGAATGCGACTTGGTCTTTCGTGCCCGTGCTACCACATTTGTCTGCCTCACTTGGTTTGCGCTGTTTCTGGCCTGGGAGATGATTGACATGCGCCGATCATTTTTCCGTATGCAACCTGGGTCCACACGGTATTTTACTCAGTGGATTTATGATGTCTGGCGTAACAAATTCCTCTTTTGGGCAATTATTGCTGGATTTGGGACAATTTTCCCTATCCTATATATACCTGTCATCAATCATGATGTTTTCAAACATACGGGAATTTCTTGGGAATGGGGCGTTGTGTTTGTTGAGGCCTTTCTATTTTTTCTCGGGGCTGAAACTTGGAAATGGGCAAAGAGAATCTACTTTCGTCGTTACGGATTTCGAGCAAAAATCCAAGCCGGCACTCGAGTTTAATTCATAATTAAACTTTGGGTCGGGTTTGGACAATGAGATCAACTAATCTCTTGCCCACCTTTTTCAGCCTTGCTTGGGCAGAGGTTTATCTCTGTTTTGCGCACGATTTCCGACAGTTGTGTACGGGTTTACATGACTCTGGTATCTCACATTTGGTTCCATAGTTCCCGGGGGTCTTGAATAGCGCGGTTGTTTCTTGCTGGAGTACCGTGGACCACATTTGAAAGCAATTTTAACCAGAAGTATCCGATATATCACGACAGCACAGAGCTTAGTCACTTCCCTGTGGGAGCTATAGTTACTTGAACGTAGTCGTCCTTATGTCATCGATGTGTTGCAATTGATCTTTAGTTTCACAAAATCAGATACCCAAGTCATGTATCTGTCCACAGCATGCGAAACAGGAAGCTTAGTCATATGACTGGCGAGAGAGCTCCACCAGCTGGCTTATTACCTTGTGAATGGCAATCAGGGACTGAGCCAATCGCGTGCATTGAAACTGGGGTCTGAGTCATCAGCCAGTGAGGGTCATCCACGCTATATTGTCGCTTGGTACCCATGAGCCCTAGATGACAACGACTGTGATCAATAACTGCCATATATATCAGACTTGACAACATAGTCATCAACAAGCAAGAACGCCTCCAGAGTGGCAGCGGGCCTACGGAAATGCAGGACAAAGGTCATTCTGACAATCCAGAGGATAGTTCAGACAGCGTCTTTGAGAGAATCTGTAAGAACCCGCTCGAGAAAGCTTTCTTTGACAAAAAGCACATCGAGAAACTGTTAGCATCCGGTACCTTCATGATCATTCTTCAGACAGTACGGAGCAAAAATAGCCACTGTCGTGCATGGAACTGCCCACCAAGGATACTAACCGGCATGCCGAACATACGGTCTGAATTTCGGTTCAACCCTCAGCATGGCTAGGCAACAAGGGAGAAAGTGTGGAATGAAACTGAATGACGTCATGTCTGAGTTTGCCCATATATTTTTGACTATTTTTTGGGTTCCAGACTGTAGGGTAGATAGAGCTTTGAGAGTTGAGCCAGGCATCTTCTCCATAAAGATCAGCAAAGAGGGGAGCAGGCATGGAAGATTCTAGAAGTGAATAGGAATGTCTATCTATAATAGCTTAATATAGTTAGCGTGAACTTTAATATAATAAGTAAGAAGATGGGAGTGAGTCAACTAAAAGTTGATTCTAAGTTTTAACTAGGTGATGGTGATCTGTAATAGACTAAATGATAAGATATCTTATTTAGATTTAGGTGCCTGATTAGATCCTAAATATAAGGGTAATATTAGTTATATATATCTGACTTCTTTTCTGATAATGCTATCTCTATTTATCTTTTATATTTTTCTTATAATTAGTCTTTTATATATTATAGGATAAAATATTATGCTTATTATTATAATAAATTATAATATCTCTAAGATTAATTCTATACTAAGTAATAATTCTTCTTAGTTTTTATTTTTTAGACTTTAATTATAAACAGATATTGCTTCTGCTTCTTAGTCATTGATTTCTATACTATTCTAGATAGTGAGATTCTTTCTCTTAAGGTTATTTATAGGGCTTTTCGACTGTCTTTTTCGATGTGAATTTATATAAATTAACCATAGGGACTGTGCTTGTTGAGGATATAGGATGATATAATGATTTTGCTTTATATTTGACATTGTGCTGTCCGCTTGCTTATGGTTTTTGGTGATGATTAATGTACAACGATTGAGATAGATAGAGGTGGGTTCTGGATGTTTCCATAGTCTCAGTACTGATTTTGTATTGCTTAACAGGGCGAGTACTCCGGCTTCAATTAGCAACTCCCATGTGGACTGTTTAGGATCACTCCCCAACCAGTGATGCAACATCATCGCTTTGTGGTTCTTCTCTGACCAGCGTCTTGAACCCTTCCTAGTCTCCTTCTAGAGCTCTGCGGTTATCCCAAATCAAGAGTCACTAACCCCTCGGACAGCAATTGTGAGCCCAGGTGCAATCTAAAGAACCCGTCTGTGGCAGATGCCATGTGTACAGAATGCAACAGAGGACAAAACTGCCACTAGTTCTGAGACTGGCTTTAGCCGCCGTTACCCAAGCGGAAATTCCGGCTCAATAGTGCAAGGCTCTCTCTCAGGATTATTGACGTTTTCCGTTGTACCGCGCGAAGGATTTTTTGTTCCTCTTCCCGAAACTGTGACCGCGCCACGGGCTTCTCCAATGGGGTGGCTTTGTTGTCGAAACACTGGTGGACACCGTGTTTGTCGAATGTTTGATGTTAGGGTTCTCTCCGTTCGCTTCTGCTCGTCAGCACTCTACTTCAGATCACATTACAAATCGCCAATCGGTGTGCTCGGAAGCGCTTTTCACAGACAGACCGCCCTCCTTTCATGATTTTTTTTTTTCGGTCCGGAAGATGTTGTTAGAAATCCTATCTTGAGACCGCTCTCATTTCTGCCCGTTCCTCCATTACAACGATAGTGGTTGGCAGACATCATTGCGAATGATGCCATGTCCGAACAAGAGTTGACGACAGATATGCTGTTGGCAACATGCTCGATAAGTACCGCACCACCATTACTCTTCGATAATTATCAGTTGCAAGATGATAGAAGCCACAGTAATGGACTGGGAAATGTGACAATGAACAAGCGAGAGCGAGTGAAATTTCCTATGTTGATTATAATTGCTACTGCAAGCTATACTATCAATAGTCTTCTATATTTAAGGCTACATTAGAAATCTTTTTATTAAATAGCTTCTAAGGTTAATTATTAAATAGATACTAATAATATAAATAAAATACTATATATAATTTACTAATATACTTAAGACCCTTTTTAGATATAAAATTTATTTATTAATATATTTTTAATAGAAGTCTATTACAGATATATCACCTTAATTTACTATTATAACTAAAATATTAATTGTTATAATAATTTAATTATTCTACTCTATCAGCTGTATTTATAAATCCTAAGTTGGGTAAGTAGACACTATTTATAATATCATTTCCACTGGACACTCATTACATACCATATATTAAATTGGAAGTGACGATTCTTCAGTGCTTGCCGATTGACTACACTCATCCACTAGTGGTTCGAAATGAGCTCTGATTAGCGATGGGTTGACATGACGCTTTTGTCTATTCTCGCCAAAAGTATGTCCATAACGAGTTTGTCGATGCTCTCAACTTTACGTGCAAGGCATAATCGCGGCGAATCCTGATAAAAGCCCAGTCTTGAAGGCATGCTGTTAACCTGTCGTTGAGTTGAAGAAGCTTCATCTGGCAGTTACCTTATCAGGCATACTGGTGGGAATGAATTCCACATTCGCAAAGGAGACAAATCAGCTCGATACAGTACAATAAAGTGTTACTCTAGACATACGGAAGAGCTAGGACCTTTGGCTTCTCCGCATTCGCACCAAGACTTGATAACGAGACAAGACGAACACGACTGCAAGAAACAGCGACATACAGAGTAAGACGCTTATGATGATGCATACTCTAATCTAGTAACACTATGTGTTCCATTAGCAAGGCAATGAGAGCCTGCAACATGGCAGAGACGAACGACAAGCCTTGATCCGTTTTCATTCGATGCTATCTTTCAAACTCTTTTCTTTGGCTTCAGCTGTCCAGCTCCGCAACAAGCTCCACTTTCCCCTCTTCCTCATTGCGGAGGACTGGAGAGTTTCATATGTTGAATGAGTGAAGCACCTCAGCTACTCACCGCGAGTCCTTTCACTGTGTGAAAAACACCGCTAGTCTGCTAGCCAACCCAACATTGACTCGATTGAGCGTGAGCAGATGGATGGCTATGTGGATGATCACAAAACCAACTCGCAAGTCGCCGTGGCCATTGTGACAGGAAGCTAATAGACGTGATGACATTCAGGTGAGTTCTCGCGCGCCTATGGAAGAGCCTTGAGTAGAGACAAATGACCTTGCCTTTGATCTGTTTGATCGATACGGCCGCTTGAAACCTGAACGTATGGATCACCCCGTTCAGAAGAGTACTCGAGTATGGTGCCAGGAGCTCCACCGCGGTGATATCCTGCTGATCACTGACATTCAAATCGATAAGAGATACCGGCGTCGTAGCATAGCGAACTGATGCGAGCGATGCTGCAGAAGTGTCGCCACAAATCAGGCGAATTCTTCGTTATAATACGTCCCTAATCGGCGAGGTATGAATCAACCGTACGGATGAACCGTCCACATCAGCACGATAGTGTGAATAGCCAGCGCCTGGCAATTGCGCAGAGATCTTGCGTTCGTTAGGATTTCGTCGGATTGGATCATCCACCTGGTTCGGCTTGGCTTCAGCCCCGGTCACGCCAGCCATAAGTTGGAGCCTTTAGGGGATTACGACCGTCCCGAATATCGCTACACGTCTCACAGCGACGTGAAGTCTCTCCTCCATAAAGTCCCTACCCTGGTTGATGCGAACTGTGTAGAACGCCTCCGTCAAATCTTGAATGATGCTGAAAGTACTGATTCGAAATGGGAGTCAGCCGAATCGGACGGTAATACAGTGCTTCGTCTGGAAACCGATCGAAAAACGCTATTTAATAAACAGACTTTCTCGATCTTAAGGCAGATTATGATCGATTGCCGCATGGCCGTTGAGAAAGGAATGTGTTGATTCAAGATTCAGAGTTGTACAGCATGCAAGTACTCCCCCGTGACTGATTCGTGTGTACTTATAATTGATTATAGGTGCATATCGACAAGGATCGTTATCAGCGCATCAGACCATAGCGCCTATGGATGGCTTGCAGTGCCAAGCTTCGGTGAACTACTACCGATGTATATCTCCAAAAATCGTCCTTGGGTCAGCTGGCCATTGTACAGCCCCACAGTGGCGTTGCATGAAACATACCACGTACAAACCGACCCCAATTCTATTTGTGCTTGTCATACAATCCGGTCTACATAGTATGTTTGTGAACCTGTGGCTTTTGATCGATCATGTTCTAAAATCGCCGAAACAGCAGCCGCGCAATGCCTACTTCCCTGAATTCTATACTACCGAACACCCTGTCCGAGCCACCCGGCGTTAATATCTTCGAGAATATCGCGGCACAAGAAGATGTTCTCCAACTAATTGGCTCATCAAATAGATATCCTACTTCTGCCAAATCAATTTCCACCAAAGCTCGAACTACACAATGTTTTGAAGACTTCGCTGACTCTACAGTTCAACATATATTGCGGACACGCTATGCCAACTTCGACTAAGACCAGAATATATAGACACGTGAATGAGTTTAAAGCTTAAACGCTAAGACTTACTATCAACCACACAATCTTTCAACTAAGCTAAGCGCCAATAATAGCCTGCAACTCTCCGTCGGTCAAGACAGCCTTGCTATTTTCCAGTTATTCAGCCTTGTCAATCCTCATACCTGCGGGATTTCCCACTACAATATACTAGTAACAAAACATCCTGAAGTAAATACTCAGCTGATCTTTCATTAGCGACAAAGTTGGGCACCCAATCAAGATCTTGTTGAAATTGAACTTTATGCATATACTAATTATATAGATCGACTTGCGGTCATTTCTATTCCAGGTAGTTCCCAGGCAGAATGTAGCATAGTCACCCCTCACAAATTAATCTTACGAGTATTTGCTGTCCGTGCGTAACCCGGACCTCAACAACCATGCTCATCTGGAACCCAACTTGGAATAATCGAACCCCACATACCGCTTCCCATCAACTCATTGAGCCTAAGAGCCTTGTTTTTCAGCCACATACAACCACCAATATCAAAAATGGCTTTTTAAACATTCCGGGAACTCTAGGGGCAACGAGCACACATTCCTTGGTCGCACAGTTTTGTCTCAGGCGAAGTGTTTCCAGCACTATGACTCTTTCGCTTGTAAGAATACATTACTTCGGCAGCGAAATGTTTTTGTCTGAAGTAGAAGCACCGGTCTGCCTGATGTTTGGTGGTCGCACCTGCACACACCTCCAAATCGATCAAATGAGGGGCTAGCCCTAATCCGGTATAGGTATTGATCAGATGGATCCTACCTTAGCAGAATTTAAGTCAAACGGAGAGGTTTTCCTCTAAGTAGCTGGTATCTTCTCCCGCAGCGGCTCTCCATTGGATGATGAAATGCAGATCCAACCCGTTATGAATGCGGGGCTAGTTACTTAACTACTCCATCATTCCCCTAGTTTCTAAACAGTTAGGCTTTTTCGAGTGTACTAGATACCACCATCACATTAGTCGTGGCCTAACGGCACGAATAGTGAGAAATTGAGTGGGAACGCGTGTTGTATTGTATTCAAGTGTGTCTAATAGAATGAAAGTAAGTGGCATAGTTGTGCCATACATAATGCAGCGCAGTCCTGTGCGCGCTAATTTACTCTGTAGAAAGGAGTCCTCTTGGCAAATCCTTATATCGAGGAAATCCAGCTATCCAATGAGGGCATGCGGGTGGGTATATGCGCTGCGCCCACCATATTCGGGATAGCGGTAAAGTAATCTTGTCAAATAGTCTGTCCACGACAAGAGCTGTCGTGTGCACCCGAAGGATCACCCTGCGAACAATATCGCTCGGCCATGGCTACCCCAAGTGAGCCCATTTTGAGATTACTTTCGAGGTAAGTAATCTCAATAGGTCTGGAGACCAGACTCTAATATACCGGTACCATAGCATTCGACAAAATGGGCAGTTTTCAGATCTTGAAGTCAAATGCGAGACCTTAACATTCCATGCACATTGTTGTATTGTTTGTCCGCAGTCTAAGTTCTTTGACCGAGCTGTGAAGGATGGTTTTATGGTAGATATCCACAACCGAGCTTAATTCTACCAACTAACGGTAGGCAGGAAGCAAAGTTACATATCATAAAATACACGATGAGCCGTCTATAGCGTCAAAAAAGTTTGATTTTCTTTTATTGTGGGGATTACGATGACGGTGGTGATTACTTAGACTCTACAAATACTTCGTCCCATGGCGTTGCTGGTGAAGCAATCCAAATCCCAGAAGAGCCACCAAGAGAAGATTCCAATTTCCCCGACGTGCCCTCTGAATGCCTTCCCACTACGTGGAGACGTGCACACACCGATGCCAAAATGTACGTTATCGCCGATAAGTATCGATCGATGGGTTGAAAGAAATTTCAAAGAGAAAGATGAAATCAAATATGGAAGACGAGTGGAGTGACATGGGATTCATTACACTCATTGAGTATGTCTATGGGCCGGAATGCCCTGCTGGATCAGACCTATGTGACGCTTTTTTAGCAGTCGCCATTTAACACGTTTCTGCTCTGAATGAGCCAACGCGACTCCATGAGGTTCTGAAGAATTTCCCAGAATTTGGATACCAATTCTCCACTGTCATGATGGAAAGAGTTATCCATTTAGAAACAGAAGTCTGGCAGGAACACCTCATCCTTCTCAATAATTGAAATATAGATCTGAATCAGGATTTTCATGCAGCAGAAAGCAAAGCGTCATTCCCAGTCATGTCAACGTCGCCCTATATACATTTCAAACTCCAAGACAGCCCCTCTGGGACCGCTATTGCAGCGACTGAGTGGCAGGAGTTTCATAGCAAAATGAGCCTCCGGAAACATGACGCTGATAAACACAGCCGGTGTACTGATTGTGCACAAGGATTTCGGTAGTCTCAAAAAGCTCGAAATCATCGTATCCAGCGTCATGGTGGCTTTAATCCAACGCGACGTCACTTTGATGCACCAATGTATATCAAACCTTTAGGCTATAGGGCGCAAAAAATGGAAGCACTTCCTCAGGGTCCACGTATAAATTCATCGGATACCGTACGCAAAAATGCGCTGGATGGCTCGATTTTCAACACACTTACCGACAAGATCATGACTACTGAAGTTGATAGAAAAACTGGCTCACACAAACAGAAAGTTGTATCGACAACTTGGCTTTCTCCGGAGATCACAGAGAAGTAGGCACGTCGGACGTACTCTGTCCAAAAGCAAGGGCCGTAGGATGCGAAGTCGGACGATAGAGCAGATAAAAGTCCCGGGCCTAGAACGCTGCACATTCAATACGAGTACTAGTGACTGGGGTTTGGACTTGCCGTTGCGTCCAACAGAAGTGTTGAAATAGGGCTTGATGGAACCAGACTAGGTTTCATATACATAGTCGCTTTGACTTCTTGCGACTGTATAACACCATACATCTACTAGCAGAAAGGTTTACTGGGCTGGATAAATTAGCATCACAAAGCTTCTTGTTAGCAATATGTACATACGACAGGTATTTAGTTCTTTGCCTCCCACCATGAGACCGCAGGTCACTCAGAGAAGATATCGTGCAGAGGGACATCGATCTGTGCGACCGTCAATATTAGAGGCAAACATTGGCGCCATCTGGGAAATCTGAAGCGATCGGTATGCTACACAAAAGTTTAGGAGCTAATTACGTGAGAGGAGAGAATAGAGAATGACTATAAGTATCTGCAGAATCTGAACAGTGACTTGCGCGTGACAGCTGCTTTGTGAACATTGTTCTACTGGACGCACCAACTTGGAAAAACGTCTGGATTTATTCTTCGCCCATAGACTAGATGTGAGACTTTCCTGAGCCTAGCGTTTCCTCGGTCACATTGTAGGCCGTCAGAACAACGTAGATTAGCTTGCCTTGATCCTGAACAGGCATAATGTAGACCCTATACGCTGTGTGCCCGACGCCATCGTCAATTTCAACATCGTCAATGATCCGTACTTCGCCTGTATTGATAGCGTGCGTTACTACCCGATGAAGGCTAACGGTGTCGGTGGCAGGCACCTTGTGGGCAGGAAGGTCATAGATACTTTGACCCACTACTTCTGCACGACTATAACCGCTGATAACCAAATGGCTATTGGAGACTTGCACCACCCGAAGTTTCGCATCAAGCACGATAGTCGGCAGTGGAGACAAGGAGAAAATGCGGCCCAGATCCGAGGTAGAAGCCGAAGAAACCTGTTCGAAGGAATGAAGACATCGTTTACGATCGTCGTTGTCAGATCGTTCGGCAGGCTTTAGATTGTGCTCATCAATGGGCACAGTGGTCATATTGATGAGAAAGGCGGCCTCGGACCGGTCTGTTTTGTTGAGGAAAAAGCAAGCACGTTACTCGAAATTTCACGGCCACCTCCGATTGATATATGGTCGGTGCATGGAAACTGTGACAGAGGAGAGATAAAATCGGGACTCCTGCCGAAGCCTAATTGTTTAAATCTCTTCTCAACCCCAACCGAGCCGTCCAAACTCGACCCGTGTACACTCTCAACTTCATTGGACGAGCTCCCAACGACCCCACACAAGGCAAAGAGCTGTGTGAACATTGTGATTGGAGTATAGATTGGGTCAAGATTAAGCTTATCGATATATGGGCGGCTATCCTACGTCGAACGATTTACGATATTGCAACAATCCCCTGCGGGCACCAATCCTATGTCGCTTTTCGTTACGGTATCGTAGCAATCCTCTAAGGAGCGATGCATTGCATGTCTGATTGCTAATGAGGGATGAAATGGGAGTCCAGATAGCTTTCGTTTTGATCTTTGGCACGATAGACCGGCAATTGAACTCTTTTTTAGCTTTCGAATTGTCTCCCTGAACCGCTATTGAATGAATTTGGAGACTTTAACTCTTCATGGCTCCTTTTTTCCGACAATCATTCGAGGTGGGTTTCCAAAGACGTAACCTTGAATGCCAACGTGCTCCCCGCTGATGAATACCGACGGAAGCTCGAGGACTCACGCAATCTGTTACCTGTTCAAGCTGATACGAACGAGGCTAAAGGACATATATTTAGGTGTAAGGCGATACGGGACTTTATAGAGAATGTCATGGGGGTTCAGCTTCGAAATACTCAATGGGTCGAAAATAATTATGGCTCATAGTGCTGGTGTATCCTGAAGAGAGTCACCAGAAAATTTGGCGCGGTGACAAACAGGTTTTAGGTAAACTGGCGCCCACTTTCTCGACGGCTACCAGAGCCGACCAATGATAGGTGCAAAATTCTTTGCGTTCCATATAGGCAGCTGATAAACTTGATGTTGTGCCTTGTGTAACCTGGGTCAAATTGAAGCTGGCAGTCGCATTCTCTCCTTATGTCGACTTTCAAGAATGGGCTTCGAAACGGCTGTTGTCGGATTACACCTTTATGAATCAGGACGAGATCATGAGATGGCGCGATGCTGTCCTCATCACGCAACAAAATATAACAAAAACAGATACTCCTAGCTACATTAAAGCGCTGGGCCTGGGTTCATTACACATTCCGCCGACGGAACACCTTTCTAAGCCAGGTGAGTGTCACAATACCTTCTAAGTGAAAGAAAGCAATAGACCAATAAGCCCAGCAGTTGCATGCTTTTATATTCGATTCCTCAATGAAGAAAAAGACGATTACTACCGAGCTCTCTACCTGACCGAAAGGACAGTTCGCAATCTTATCGTCAAGATCGCAGAGAAACGTGAGGTTGATCCAGATCGCATTGTTCGCATAGTACGCGTTAATCGGAGCGGAATTGAGACTATAGTGGATGATGATCTTGTTCAACAAGTGCCTGAAGGACAGGAAATGCTAGCTGAAGTCACCGAGGCGTTTATATTGCAGAGTTCTACTACAAGCATTAGTTCTCCGCCGATGGCAGCTGTAGAAGTTCGTTTGATTTATTGAGATACACATGGGACATATTTGAGAGCAATTTTGACCAAAAGCATCTGCTTGATTCGTTTCTTACACTTTTCTGAACAATTCGCCATGATCATTGCAAGGATTTAATGCCATCGGACTTGGGCTTTTCTCTTTTCCTGACCGACAAGGAAACGAGGGAGATCATGAGATCTGATTATAAGATAACTATATGAACAAATAATCTATCTGCACAGCGAGTCTTCAGAACATTAATTTCGCATATTTCGCAACTGGACAGTGGCAACAGAGATGTGACCTATCTTGGATTCGGATAGCACTCTGGCATAGAGAACAGGGCTTATTGAGAGATACCTTCCGCTGGTTCAAACTCAATACACAATCATAAAAGATGTCGCCACACTGGACGGATACCGATTTGTCCTTGTCCTCCAAGCAGACTAGACACTCCAACCTCTTTCGGGCCTTTTGCTCGTCGAAAATTGTTGAAATCTAGGATTCGCCGATTGTGAGGAACGTAAATCTCTTCTTGAGTCGGGCATTCGGTTTAGAGTCATAGAATGACTAGATGCTGATACTGTTCTTCCTTCTTCTGCTAACTTTCTTCGCTTTCTCTTTCCGGAGTGACCTCAACAGATCTTTTATCTCAGCGTCACTAGATAATGGCCAGGGACGCGGCCAACTGCTGATCCTCACTACCACCGAGTGTTCTTCGATGCGGATCCCATTTTGTAGCTGATCCTCGGTCATGAAAAACTTTATTCCATAACGGCAGATAAGAGCGGCTGGACATTCTTGAAGCATATTTCCTCGATGCCAGATAGTCAGAAGTTTTTCTTTCTCTGCTTCTGAGAAATGCATATCTTCTTTGCTGAGTTTGTAAAGAAGGTATTCAAGCGGTGCAAAAGTATAAGGAGACATTGGATGCTTCTCCGTACGACGATAGTGTTTCACAGACGGTCTGAACAAAGATAAGAGAAACGGTCGGCGTTGCTCATAGATTCGTGTTAAAAAGTTGATAGCATCTTCCCTGCGATCATCAACCTCTAAAGACCACGCCAATCCCATTGCAATTGGAATGAGTAGCTCTTCAAGTTTCCTTTTATAAAGATATGTCCAAGCATTTTTGAAAATCTGAAGAATACTATCCTGGCTAATATAATCGCGTTTGATTGTAATGATTAACTGCTGAATTACTAGAGCTGGTCCTAACAATCTATGTTGGCGGTCATAGCGAATTGCTCTTTGGAGAATAGTTGAAAAGATTGAAGTGATAATGCTTTTCTTATGATCCTGGTAACATGAATATAGATCCTGACAAGTTTGTATTGCTGAAAGGAGGCTGTTGAAATCAGGGAGGTTTTTAAACACTATTGTAGTGAGTTTGGAAGGTAAATTCACAAGATTCTTTGTCAAAAGTCGTTGTTTCATCGTGAAGTAATTGCCTGCGCTCAAAGAAAGTATGGATCACCATACATCGCTGGACCAACAAGTAAATGAGGGAAAAGAAAATCCAGGGGTCAAAGTAGAAACGAGAGGCATATATATAGTTATGAGCAAGCTCGCCCCACATCGCAATGCTACGGAGGTTTAGGCGGCACTGCGCCACAGAAAATGTGGACACTTCACCGCAATATTTCTCAGACCCCTTTAGGGCATCTGAGATAACTAGTAAGTCTGATAGAGGTAATTCCTATTCTAGCTATGCAGCGCTTATTAATACACTTTTCGAGATTCTAGAGCCAGCTTTTCCTGAATACGTCCTCTGATGACAGTGCCGTGGGCATCCTCGGCATGACTGAGAAGATCCATTTTGTCCTGTATTGGAGCTGTATCACACACATGACACACAACTCGATTGGAGGACCATGGTGGATTCACGTGTTTTCGCAAAAAATGCCGGGTCAGTGAGCCGGGCGTTGCGTACTTTGCAATCCGGGCTTGCAGAGGAATATTGGGATTTCCAACGCAGATGAAGCAGATTGTCGGTCGATCTTCCGGGGACGTGACGCGGACAGAATCGATCGCGTCACGCAGGGCATCCTCTGTCTCCTCCTTGATGACGACCCGCTGCCGTTTAGCAGAACGATGAGAGTCTTCGTCATCAGGTGCAGGTCGGCGAGGAGACTGAGCCGCTCGGCGTGTGGGTCGGCCTTCTTCCACACCACAAAACACAGTGCCTGCATCGATCGCCGCAATCCGGCGCTGATACTCTGCCTCGAGAGTTTTGCCTGGCATAGCCATCATACGGTCGATGAAAGTCAGATGCTGCGCAGACATCGAGTCCCGGTCCTGCAAGGTTTTCTTCACCCGAGGAGTGACCATCAACCCTGCCAGCTGGCATTCCAAGTCGATCACGGGTTGTTCATTCCGGTAACGCTCCAGATTCTCTCGAATCCGTTGGTTCCTTTGTCGCTGCTTCTCATTGCGTAGTGCACGAACCGCTAGGTTGTGCCGTCGCTTTGCTTCCATAGTCCGGTCATGGGAAATTTCCAGCTTCTCTCGCAGCTGACGTTGGCGTTTGGCTTGGCGTTTGGAAAGCGCTCCTTCATCGAGATGGCCAAAGAGGGCTTTGCAGGATATACGGCATCGCTCATACTTGGCTGCTTGAGCGTCCCATTTCCGTTTCCGTCTATGGACGGTATCTTGCCGTGCACGAACCACCGAAAGATCGTTAATGGACCTAGATTCTTCTTTCGACAACTTGTATGGCCGATTTGGGTCGATGGACGCGCTGAGTGAGCATGCAAATTGTACCAATTTCGTTTGAGACCCTGTCTTGCGGACAATACCCTGGGCGTCCACGTCCACATCGACCGCATAATGTCTGATGAATGTTCGAATATCCGAGTGCTGCATCATGACATTTTGCAAGGCATCCGAGATCTCTTCTATTTGCTATGTGAGCGGGCCGGTCGAAAGGGCTAGGAAACACACTTACCGCTATTATTGAATTCCTTGGCTGCCGCATACCGAAGAAGATAGGGTTTCACAATGTCCTCAAAGGTTGTGATCTCGCCAACACGACGCATTTGGGATCGCAATGTTGAGCAGAGCATTCTCTTTTCCAACACAATCCGATATCCAGTTGTCTCCCGCTCCACCTGACAAAACACATATTTATCCAAGATTTCGTCCTTTAACTTCAGGTCCTGCTGATTTAAGCCGTCAACAATGCCGACACTATAGAGTGCCTTTGCATTGTCTAGTACGGGACCAGTCTTTGTGATTCTCTTGAAGCCGTCGATGTGGAATAACATGCTCAACAGACAGACATGAGGACTCAGAGTCAGTGTTGGGTCAAATATGATTTCTGGGATTTTGAACTCGTTCCTGGGCAGTCAGTGGATCAGCCTAATAGATTTTTTCGGAGGCACCTACGGAGCTTTCTTCCCCAGGAATCGCTTGG